AAAAAATTTTTGTTAAATCCATGAAATATGCATATAAATGTTCTTAAACCCAAAATATGCGAATTGATACAAAAAGTAACAAAATATGCAACAACAATTTTTAAATCTGAAATATACATACTATGAATCGAATTTATATCGAATCAGAATTTCAATATGTACTTTCTAGATAAATATGAAAATGCCTGAATTTCCGAGCCTTAGTAATAACTAATAATTATTGACCAATTTTTACACAATGCAGTTTTTTATTTGTCAGTTATCTACTATTTATACTTTAAAAAAGTACAGAAAAACTTGATGGATAAGATATAGTAATATAGTGATACTTACAATGTAATGTATTAAATACATTGAGAATTCGAAAATCAAAATAAAATGGAGCAATTCAATAAGCTATTTTCAAATTGCAAATCAAAACTTGGTCTAAGTACAAATTGCAATATAAACCAATGTTATACATAACACGTTAACCAAAAAAATCGTAATTCAACGAAAATAAATATTTGAGTTACCAGCAAATATTTAATATAAGGATAACATAGTCAAAAATATTTTTACACGCAATAACAAAAAAAGTTAAATCATAAAATCATTTTTTACCAAAAACGTATAGTCGATTATACTATAAATCTATATTAAATATTGGTTCCTTTTTAAACACTACTGTTTACTTAATATTCGTAGGTGTAGATAAGCAAATATATTTAGATAGGTGATACGCAGTTTTTCTGTCCAGAGTATTTGAGTATGGACAAAAAAGTATTTTTATCGAGCCCTTTCAACGTAGCATGACCATTATATAAACACATTTTTTCTTTTTGTAATATCTACCATTAAATTTTTATACTTGACAATGTACATAAGTTTTTTTTTTTACATACTATTTGAAGAAATATTATAAATTGTATTATAATAAAGTATATTAGATAATATTACGTGATACAGGTAATATTAATCGGAAAAAACATGTTCCAGATCATAATTGATTCCATTCATAATTAGCGAGGTTAATGGTAAAGTGTGGTAAGTAGTTACTTTTTATTTATTTAAGTTAAAGAAAATCGTTTCCATCATTTAGGGTGGGTTGCATAAACGTTCATTAGCGATTTGCAGACAGTATACAGACTGATAACATACTAATGGTCAGTAATTAAAATTGGGTGTTTCATAAACGCCAAATAGTGTTAACGGCTCTGTAAGTTACTGATTGTTGGACCTGTATACTACAGACCCGATTTTGGTTCGGTAACTTACAGATTTATTAATGATAACCGATATTGTCAAATAAAAAATGTTATCCACAATATTTATACAATTCATTTTATTTCTTTTTAAACTATAATAATTTTAAACATTTAATAATGGAATCTTCGACGTCATCTTCCTCCAGCGATGAAGATGATTTTTTTATACAAATCGTTCAATTTTTACCTAGACCGCAAGTTTTTCATGATAGATCAAATCCCCTAATGGATCACGGTTTATTCAAATGATTATGTATTATTATTTTTAATTTATAGAATACATTTATTTGGTATCAATAAGTTAATATTTTTTCATTATCACTATTTATCACATAAAATGCTGTTTAATTTATTTGGTAACCACAGCTCTCATTAAAATTAACTTTTCTTTATGAAACACCTCAGTAATATTATCGATCAGTAAAACTTAACAGAATTTATAAGTTACAGGACTAATAACAAGTTAAATAATAACAGACTGATCTTTATGCAACCCGGTCTTAAATTTTAAAATCGCTGTTAATAACGACAAAAGAGGTTTAATTGTTAGTAGGTATGCAGTCAGTAACAGCTATAAATAAATTAAAACATTTTTATACCAAAAAAAAAAAAAAAATACTACTTTTATTTATTATTGATAAGAAATAAGAATTATTTAAACACTATTTTGTCTCACTATCTTATCAAATAAATGTTCAAATAAATAAAAACATTTATATTGTTAGATAACAATAATTATGATTAATTTCAATTTGGTTCATTAATATATAATAATATTTACGTAGGATTTAAATTTTAACAGTAAAGTTAAGTAAAACCATTTTTCTTTTATTTATTTTTAGATTATTTTAACAAATATCCTTAATATGTCTTTGGAAACAATTGAACGGGCTTTAGCAGAATTTTACTGCAATCAAAATATAGAAGTTCATAAAATGTTGTTAGAATTTCAAAATTCTGTAGATGCCTGGAATCTCGTGTGGAATATGTTAGATACATCAAAAGTAAGTTGTTTTATAACTATATAACTATATAGCTTATCATTATTTATTATATCATATATTTTATGTATATATTTTTCACATGCTGGAATATTTTGATTTTGATGAAATCATGCTGGAATATTTTTTTTTCAATTTTATAGCCACACGAGATACAATTTTTTGGTGCCACTACTCTTCATATTAAAATTACTAAACAATGGTTACAATTGAAACAATCAGATTATATGCTTCTTAGAGATAAAATAATGGACACACTTATAAAATACTATAATTCAACGGGACCATCAAATGTAACAAACAAATTATGTTATTGTGTAAGGAAAATTTTATTTTATTTTATTCTGGTAGATATAAGTATCAAATTTACTTTTCTATTATTTAAGTTATCATGATTTATGGATCGGATAGGTTGGTAGGGTACTAAGAAATTCTTAGTATACCAGTGTGCTTATATTTTACTATGGCTACCTTAGTAATATTTAGTTTTACTACAAATTATGCGTTATTGTTAATTTTCAATATTTTACTATTGCTTAACTCTACAACTTCTTATTTAGGTTATTTTTATTAGGACTTTTAATGACTGACAAAAGTAAAATAACAAATAACAATTCATCTTATAAAACTGCCTGTGATATCCACTTATATATATACTTAATAATACATTACAGTCCTATTGATTTTCCTTGGCCAATAATGTCTGCTTATAAAACTAAGAAGTTAAAATAAAATACGATATATATAATGAGATAATTTTTTTTTAAATTTTATATTTATATTATATTAATACACAATTATTTTTGTTTAGCTGTGTGCTTATGTAGTTCGAACAGTACCAAATCATTGGCCAGATGCTATTCCACAATTAATGGAAACATTTAGAAATTCGTTATCTCAATCATCAATAAATGTCAGTGTTATGATTTTAGAAATTTTAATGGCATTACCTGAAGAGGTAAGATTTGTTGAAAAAAAAATATATGTATTTTATGCGATATCTTATATTAATATCAACCAATTTTTTTTTTTTTTTTAGTTTGGTGCTACAACATTAACTAATACACGTCGAAACGAAGTGCGGAGTGAATTAGAAAAATCTTCATTACAAGGTTAATTAAAATTAATTTTGTTGTTTTCAATGTTGTTAACAATTTTAATTGTTTTTGAACATTTATGTAGTATTATCTATCGTGGAAAGTATTCTTCAGAGCGACAGCTTGGATCCAATTGTGATACATGCTTTAAAATGCGGTGCTTCTTGGTTAGATATAGGTTTTGATCTAATAAAATGTCATCGTCTGACTGATACATTTATATCTGTTATTTTAAACTCTGAAAGAAGTCAAGAGTAAGTTTTAGTTATAATTAGTAAATAATTAGTATTATTAGTAATAACTAATAAATAATATTTAAAAGTGATAATATTTTAATCCAAATATGTTCTTTTTAGATGTATTCTATTGGCTATTGATGCTTTAAAGTCATTATGTACACATCCTCGAACATCTGTATGTGAAGCAACTGTTTTTGAAGTTTTAAGCAAAGTTATCATACTTTCTGATAAATTATTTCATTTAGAAATAACGAAAGAACCAGTAAGTAAAATAATCATATTTTTTATGCAACAAAATGAATTCTAAAATTTTTATTTTTAGAATGTTGTAGTAGATAAACTTTTTGATCTCTTTTTGGGAATTGGTGATCAACACTTTCGTCCAATAGTACAAGGTCTCCTAAATGATAATACTAGACAGTTGTGTACAAAATTTTTCAATTTATATTTAACTTGTACAAATGCACCTGGATATTATCCTGTAAATGAAAACTATAGCGAAAAAACATTTACATTTTGGTTTTTATTACAAGTAAGCATTTTTACTTTTCATTCAATATTTATTTATTGTTTATTTTTTCAATTTCAGGATGATTTGTTATCAAATTATGCTGGACCAGATAATGCATTATTAACTATTGTTAAACCGTTGTATATATCTTTAACTCAAGTATTATTAAAAAAAGTTGCTTATCCAGATAATTTAGAATCATGGACTCCAGATGAAAGAGAATTGTTTCGGTGTTATAGACAAGACATATCAGACACTTTTGTATGTATTTATAGTTATAATTTATTATTTATATTTTATTCATTATGAAATATCTTAATAAATTTTATACCATTTATGTTAATCATTAAAATTTAAATGTAAAACTGTTTCAGACTTACTGTTACTTTATCTTACAGTCTGAAATGTTAGATGTATTGTTAACAATTTATAAACAAGTTACCTGTGATGCAAAAACTGCGATTACTCAGTGGCAAACTGTAGAAGCATGTTTATATGCTTTTACTGCAATAGCAGAACCACTTCAAAATCAAGATTCACACCCTCATATAGAACAGCTTATGTCATCTTTAGGCTCTTTACCTTATGAACAATTAGATAAAAAAGCTGCAGTTGCAGCTATGGATACTATAGGTATATATAATAAACTTTAATAAATATTTTACATTATGTATATGTATGTATCATTTTTAGGAGCATATTATTATTGGATGGAAACACATCCAACCTATTTAAATTTGATTGTACCTCTTCTCATGATGGGCCTACACAATAGCAATATGTTTTCTTCTGCCTCTATTGCTCTTAGAGATATTGCTAAAGAATGCAAACAAACCATAGCACCTTATAATGATGTTATATTAAATACAGCAATGGTACGTTTTATTTATTAATTATTATTAGATAATTAATATTGATTTTTAAATTTCATTAGGTTGCATTGAAACAAGTTAACAAGCTTAAAGAAGAACTTCGTCTAATATATACTATAGGAGTTATTTTATCAGCTATGCCATTTCCAAAATGCAAACCATCTTTAGATATGTTCATTGATCCTAGCTTAGATGTTATGAGGAATATATTAAATATTGAGGTTTTAAGTGTAGTAATGAAATAATTCAACAGTATATTTATGAATATCTAATTATAGGACAATGCTGAATGTAATAAACATAGACCTGAGTTACAAAAAAGGATTAAAGTTCTTGGTTCATTGGTATCAGCAATTGACCAAAAAAATACTGTTTACCATATAATAGAAATAACTACTCCTCTGCTTCAAATGATGGCAACAAAATGTTTCATTGCTTGTCCTGAAGATATATTATATACTGTAAATATATATTCATAAATTAGCAAGATTTAGAAACTTTATTAGATTTTTTTTTTTTTAATGGTTGGAATTTATAATTTTTTTAAAGAATATTACTAAAGTATGTATTGTGTGTACAGATATATTTAAATTGTAAAAATATATGAAATATAATTTAGTTTTAATTGAAAATATTGTATTTAGGGAGTTTGTGAGTTCTTAAAAACTGTGGTATCTAAACTGCAAGAAGACTGTTCAATGGCATTAAGCATAATTATTGAAATTCTTATGATTGGATTTAGAAAATCTCCACAACCAGCTGGAATTTTGCTTTTTAAAGAAGTAAATTAACAATTGATAGAACTACATATGTAATCTTATCTAATGAATATATCATGTGATTTTCTTTTTAGATTATAATAATGTTTGGACGACAAGAAAGATTTATTCCACTTATTAAATCTACATATGAAGAAATGTGTATGAGAATTAAATTTATGTTTGAACAAATACCTGCAGCTGATCATGTTGGTCTTGGAGATGTAATGGAATCTTATTTATCTCTTCAAGGACACATATTTAGAAAATCGCAGTCATTAATTATAGATAATACAAATGTAGATTTTGCATTTGTTTTTAAAATAGGTATTATATTATTAACATATAGATTATTATAAATATTAATATTCATGGTTAAAAATATATTATATTTATAGCATGTGAAGCTTTATGTGCTAACGAGATATTTTTGGCAAAAACTGCTACATTTTTTTTAACTGCATTTATTACTATTAGCAGAGAAAACAGACCATTGTTTAAAGTTATTGAAGATAACGGCCAATTCCTAGTTTTGAAAATAATATGTATTATTAGTAAGTCTTTACTTTATTATAATTTATAAATATAAAACATATATTATATTACTAAAATAATTGGTTTTGAGATTTTTTTTTTTTTTTTGCAGAAGGTGATACAGTTAAATCAAATTTAGATACAATGTGTGAAGTTTTATTGGTATTGAACAAAAAATATAGTGATAATTTACGTGTATGGTTTCATGATATAATAGTAGTACAGAATATATTATTGCCAAATGTAACCGAAAATATGAAATCTAAATTTTTCAAAAGAGTACTTAGGTTGTATTATTAATGAATATATACATCAAACTAGCTAGATATTTAAAAAAACCTATAATTTTTTGGTTGTTTAATTTTTCCAGGGAAAAAACCAATAGAAAAGCTTTACAAGATGCAGTGAAAGAGTTTTCTTTTATATGTAGAGGATTAATTGAAGTAGATCCCTACACTGAATCATGAAAAAAATAAACATATTTTGTATAAAAAAGGTAATTATTATTATTAAAAGTATAGAATAGAATTTTGTAACATTTATTTAGTATATATTTCGTCATCTGATGATGATATATTAGCTAAATCTTCTACTTCTTCATATTCTTTGCCACCTTCTATGCCAGCAAAAGTTTCAAGTAATTCTCGCTTTTTATAATCTAGGATCAGATTTTGAATATCTTGATCAGTTGGCACAGGTGGAGGATGTATATAACGAGAGCTACTGAACATAGTTGAAATATCTTCATCATCACTGTCAACTTCTTCAAAAGCCTAAAAAAAAAAAAATGTAACTTACTACATACTAACTACATAATTATTTAAAAATAATTAAAATATTGTTACAAGATAAAAATAACTGTATTTTACTTACTGACTCCATTTCATCACGAATTACTGCTTTTTGACCTAATGCTTCCAGCACTAAACAAATATAAAAGTATTATATTTATTTTTTTTATAATTCAATACTTTAAGTTAAAACTAAACATACTTTTCTTTTCTTTTTTAGTTTCCATAGCTAATAAAAGACCATCTTCTTCATCCATGTATCCATAGTAATCTGCGTCTATATTTTTCATAAGTTCAGCCCTAGTACGACGAGGCGGTGGAGGAGGTTCGTGTTCAAAAAGTTCTCTCACACCAGGTAGATCTTTAGCAGCTCCAAAATACTTGTATCCTCTATTACCAGGTACTTCTCTACCTTCATGGTCAAGCATTCTTGGCCCCATTCGTAAAAAATCTGGACCACCAAGTTCACGTATTTGATATTCCCAATGTTTTTTTTCACGCAATAATTTATTTATTTCATCATTCAGATCACGTAATCTAAACTCTCCTAATCCAGCTAAAATATTATAAAATATTAATACCTAGTAAAATGTAAAAGTTAATTTTTGTATACCATTTTGAATTTGTGCAACTTTTTTGGATATTTCTCTTATAATTTGAACTCTCCATTTTTCAGCCGCCTTCAAATCTGTACATTCAGTAGCCAAGTATGGTCGTCGTTCTTCCTTGCCACCATGTTCCTTCACTTGAGCTGCTCTCCAACGAGCCAGTGTAGTCCTGTAAATTATTAAAAGTACAATAAATTATAAATATTTGTAAATATTCCAACTAGTCTTAATATGTGTTTACACAAAATAGATTTAACTATTTTTCTGTGATCTATTAATTTAAATTAATATTAAATAACTCAACAAAGAGTAATTCTACTAAGTGATGAGTATTGTAATTACAATGTACACCTTCCATAGAAGACCTTAAATACCTTTAAGAACTGTTTGTCAGTAATTTATAATATGTACATTTAAAATGCATTCAAAAATATCTCGAAATCACAAAATTATAATTACTTTAATATATCTGTAATGTAAGATAATTTGTCATAAATATATCAGGATAAAAACTTACATTGCTTTCTCTGCATTTCTGGCCATGGCGGTTCCTGATCTTAGACAATTACACCACGAGGTGTTAACTATTTAGATCTACAAATGTATATTCTTGTATGGTTAACTTGTACCAGTCTGTTACCGGTATTAAGATTTTAGTTCACAACATGAACAATTATAAAGATATTATCTTAATTTCATGATCATTCAAAAATACATAATGTCAATGTACAAATGTTAAAGCGTTATCTGCTATTTAACCAGTCAATGATAACAATAATTCACCAAAACGTTTTAAACTTATAGGGAATAAGAATTCTTATTATTCTAATATTAAACCGCAGCGGCTGCTTGGCTTTATGTAAATGATTTTTAGAAAAATTGTATTTATTAATGAAAAGAATAATATTTGTAATTCAAATATCTAACATCAATTCTCAGAATTTTGGATCATGAATTAATTTATTCATGCCTGTTATTCGATCATCGTTTAATAAGAACTCTTGCATACAAGTACTCATAACCATGGTTGTGGATAAGATATATTCATTAATTGATGTTGGCGACACTGATTAAAGTAAAAGTGAATAAAGAATCACGAACCATGGGTGCGTGTCCACTCTACCGGCAAAACTATACAAAGAGAAATTGGTTATACAAGATATTCGTTTTTGGGTTTAACGTAAATAAACAAACCTAAGAATGTAACAAATAAATTTCGCATTTTTGCTATTTGAACTTCAGCCGTTCATATCGATACCAATAACAACGATAATGGCCTCTGAAAAATCATTCTTTTTTAAAAGAAAATAATTCAATGTTATAAATCAATGATCAACGCAATAGATGTAATAGCTGCTAAGTGGCATAACTTATTGTCTAATGCAATGGCTGCATAAAAAATCATGGTGCACGTCGATGATGTATGCCGAGCAATGGCTACTATAGAACGTTGAAAACAAAAGGGTGATTTCGATTTAGGGGATACATGTTAATATTTATTCAAGTGTCGGCGAGTGGTTCCGACCGGCGGCGCGTGATCATTATCGACTTTTTCGCCGGGCTACGGCGGCGTTGTCCGATCGGACGGTGCTGCCAACCAACGCGGATCCCCGATGAATGGAATTAGTGGGTGTGGATCGGGGTGGTCGCGGGAACGGCTGCCATTGGTCCGCCGAACCGGGTACGATGTTTTTCTTTTTGTCCGACCGGCTATAACGTATTTACGCGTAGTACCTCTCTTCCCCGCGACAACCACAGTGTACGCACAAACGCGAACGACGTTGTTCCCGGTCGTTCCGTACGCACACCTAGCGCGCCAAATTCTCGTCGTATTTTTTTTTCTCTTATCGTTACGTTCGCCGCGCTTCATACTACACTACACATACACACACACACACACACACACACACACACACACACACATGAGCGATAACTTCTACAAACGCGCGCGCACCCGGGTTTTCGCGTTTACCGAGCAAAATCGAAAAAATATATTTACGATAACAAACAAAAAAAAACCGTGTGTCCATCACCTCCGTCGTTTCGCGCGCGCGTTTGTTGTGTGATCGTCGTTTTTGCGTCCGTCCAGCAGCCAGGGCGAAAATCACCGACAGCCGTCTACCGTGTGTCGCGCGCGCTTTTTTTTTTGCCCCCCCCGGTTGTGTGTGTCGTTTTGTTGTGCCGTACGTGTCGTGGAGGTAGAGGATCGTGATCGCCGGCCGGAGATAGCGCACCTCAACGACGAGAATATTTGCCTTGCTCAGCGCACGCTAACCCACACGTTTTCCACGGCGCGCCGTCAAAATTTCGTGACACAGGTGAGTGGATATAGTTTTCATCTTAAGCTTTATATCGACAAAGTTTATTTATCTTTTGTTGTACGAGCTAGTTGTTAAGGCACTGTCTCTTATCCGGCTAGAAAATCCCGCGCGGCCGGTTACCGGGTCCCGCGCTCCGCCGGTAGATAAAAAATTACAAGGTCATACGCGGGGTCCCGCCATAATGGATCGCGTAAGCCGCTGGTTTCCATAGTTACCGGCTTTGACGGAGGCCGCCGGTCCCACCACGATTACCGTGTATATATTAACAATAATAATAATAACAACACGGTTTCTGGATGACGTTATTACGTGAATGTTTGCGCCACTCTTATATTATTTTCTCTACTGTGAGCGTATATGCGATGGTATAACATCACCAGCGTCTACAGTCCCGGCCCGCTGCCCATGCCCGTCTTCGTGTCGTGTTATATCTATACGCGTGTATGTATGCGCGCGCTCTTACGTTCGATGTCGCACCAGAAACAAAAGAATAGCACGTGGTGTTTGGCGATAATATACATTTCTAATTATAAAATTACCTGTTCTATATTTTGGTTTTTTTATTTATTTATACCATCGACCGGTCGAAGGTTATTTATTTCTAAAAGAGAATGTCATGTTGTACGGTCGCAAGTCTTATCCGCGTCGTTTACATTGATAATTCACTGCGATGCAACGGATTGGGTTTCTTTGTTGTAGAAAGTCCTCTAGAACCGTGTAGTATTAGTACTAGTATTACTTTGAAAATGGGTTCAAGGTCCTTTCCCCTCACTCTTGTTCGTCTGTGATGTTGACGTCTCTCCGCAGTACGAAGACACGGAAATACAGAATAGACAATATTCCTCGATAAAAAGGGTGAATCGTTGATGTAACCACAAATTTTCCCTTCAAACCTTTAGCAGTCTAATTTGTTTTTTTTTACTATCGACCAACCAACTAGCTTCCTAAGATTGGGTCCCTCGTGTTAAAGTTTTATTCAAAAACATTTTTAATAAAAACAATTCACCGTAGCTCATCTTGGTGATTGCTAATTATTCTATATTTTTCTTTAAGCATTGTTATATGCGTGGTATTTACTATAGATAATTTCGATGCCTGAATTGTAGTACAACTTTATATTATTTTCTTATGGTTTCCACTTATGGCGTTGATACACGTTTTCATTTTTTTTGGCCTCTTCTACTAATATTCTATCTCTCTTGCGCACCTGATTGTATTTACTTTTTACGATTCGAATATACAACGTGTTAAAAATATCGTTGACTTACCAAACGACGAAAGAGAACTCGTGCATTATACAAATTATATATTAAAATTTCCAAGTTATCAGTCTATTACGCCTGCCGCACACTTTTATGTTAATACTCGAAATCTGATATTAATTTATTATACATGCTATATTTAAGTAATAATTATAGAACCATATCCGTTGCGTTTTATTTTCTCAATAGCCGTTGACAAGTCATGAATCGCCAACATGAAATACGAATGAATGAAGTGCGCTATGGGTTATCGCCATCTCAGGCCAATTGTATTTTAACTCTTACGAGTTTTCTATATATAACTAATTAACCATCAATGAATGTAAGATAACATAATAATCTATTGACTTTAATATAATTTCATCAAAAGCCGTTTATAATTTTACAAGATTTATTATTAGGTACTATTTATTATATTTTTATTATTATTTAATTATTAAGATTTTTGATAATAATAACTTTCCGGTCGCATTATTCCACATTGTTTTACCGTTCAAACATTAATACATAAAAGCAGATTTATAGAAATAGATTACATAATAATAAAATACTGATATTTTTTAATTTTAACAATTTTATATGAAAAAAATAATGATATATATATACATTTTTTTTTTCTCATCAATTTAACTTTTTTTTATTCTTTCTATGGTCTATGCAAGTAAGGGCTGTCCAACCGTGGTAAGAGTGTTTGAGATATAGTTAAATTGTATTACATTATTTAATTATACTTAATAAAACCAATATTTTCGAAATTAACTCGTCGACATGTTATGGCTTCGAGGTACCAATAATTTTCTGTGCACGCCGTGTATCCGCACTACCTGTACAATATTTAGTATGAGCGTATTCATTGTCGTCAATTGAAATGTAATTAATATTTTTATAAAAAATCGAACCAGTATTGATTCTTAAAAGAGATAACTCATATTTTACCTTCAAATTAACAAAAAATATGCTTTATTCCTGAATCAAATTTTGAATAGTTCTTAAAAAGAACATAATACGTAATGAGTATTTAAAACAAAAAAAGTCGTTCACCAGCCCCCTTTAAAATTACGCGTCTATTGATTTTTACTATTTCGATACTGGCTCTATCTCTCCGCGGTTTACTATACTAATCGAAGTAATAACAGTCAAAACTATTTAAATATTCTTTTATGTTATAAAATTAAACTATTTTCACTTTTTAAATCCTTTACGTTTTTTTTTTTTTTACAATTTGATTTGATATTAAAATATTATTTTCCAAATTTTATAAAATATATCTTAATAACTATTCATATTTATTTTCAGATATATCAGTCAAACAAGCAAAATGGATCTTGGTATGTTAGATAGTCTTACATTCTATCAAGATTGTATAGACTTTGATATGAAGAGTGATTATGATCGTGTACTATCCAATAGTAGCTTCAACTATGATGATTCATTGTCTTTAAATGATGACAATATGATGTCAATTATGGATCCACTCAATTCTGGTCTGTGGCTCAATTCCAATTCTGATTCTCATCATTTAGACTTTGTAGAAGGTGGCTTAGAATCTGCTATCATGGTAAATCCAAATTCAGTGATACCATCATCTGCAGAAGCGGAAAAGATTATTAAAGATGAACCTGTTGAAACTGTGGATCCTCCTATTACTATTGAACATTCTCTGAACATTAAAACAGAGGAAGATAGTTGGAATGAACCTGAATTCAAACTTGAAAATAATCAAGTTATGAAGTTACCTGAAATTATGCCTGAATCTATAAGTATTAAATCAGAGAAAATACCATTAGAGATTAAGAAAGTGGAAGAACTAAAACCTATACCCAAAGCTATTAGACTTTCTGATTTGTTGAGTCAAACAACGACTAACGGATTCCCGAAAACAGAATTAATGACTGTACGTGTAACAATGCCATCAACACTACCTACAATGAAAACTACTATAGCTTCAAGAGCAGTTCCCATTTCTTTTGTTAATAATACCATTGCTGGACATTACAAGATAGTCAGACCTAAGCAGCAAATTAAACCAATACAATCTAGAATTAATACCAACAGAATTAATGATCACTTAGGCTTATATCCAAGACCAACTTATTCTTACTCTTGCTTAATTGCCATGGCATTAAAAAATTCAAGTACTGGATCCTTACCAGTTTCAGAAATATACAATTTTATGTGGTAAGTTAAACAACATACCTACAAAGAAAAAAAAAGAAAATATCATTTTTACTTGTGTGACTTGATTAATGTATTTTATTTTTATTTTTTAGCAAACATTTTCCATATTTTAAGACTGCAAGTAGTGGATGGAAGAATTCTGTTCGTCACAATCTTAGTTTAAATAAGTGTTTTGAAAAGATTGAAAAACCAATCGGTAGTACAGGTGCTCCAAGAAAAGGATGTTTATGGACCATGAATCCAACAAAAATTGCTAAAATGGATGATGAGATGCAAAAATGGTCTCGTAAAGATCCCTCAGCAATTAGGCGAGCAATGCTAAATCCAGGTAACTACTAATAAAAATATTTCTAAAATAAATTTTAAAATATATTTAAATTATAAATTATGATTAAGAACATTTGGATGCATTGGAACGCGGTGAAATGAACGAATGTTATGATCGCCGTGAGAGCTACTACTTCGATGAGGAAGAGGAGGAGGAAGAAGAAATCATTAGTCAAGAAATGACATCAGAAGAAGAAGATAGGATCACTGATGTTGAAGAGGAATCTGATAATGAGTCAAGAATTGATAAGGATGATTCACCATACCAATTAATTACATTTGGCCTAGATGATTTAGCTAATCTTAATGATCTTGGCAATGATGTAAGTAATACAAATACCATATTATATTATAATTGTAAGAAAAAGTTGTTTAATTTTTATAAAAAAAAATGTATTTAAAATTATTAATTTTGTATTTAATATTAATAATTATTTATAATTATATTTTAGATTGATGATGATGAAGAAATTGAAGAAAGTTCTAATGATGGAAGCTTCGGCATTGAAGCATCAGAGTACAAGACAAATTTTGATGATTTGATATCTGTTCAAGATATGCCTATGACATATGTTGTTCAGCCACCAAATAAGACTGTAATTAATAATAAACGGCCTTATCCACAACCTGTGTTTAAGGGTAGTTATGTGTTAACTAAAAATGTAACATCAAGTGTTCCAAGCCCAAAACGTAAATTTATAACTAGGCCTATATCAATATTAAGAAACATTTAATAGAAATAGGTAATGTAATATAAAAATAACTACAGGCTCTAATTAATTTTAAAATTGGTGACATGCACTAAATTTGTTGTGATTTCCCAAGACTTTATAAGATACTTATTTTAATATGAATTTGGTATTCTAAAGTCTGAATGGTCAAAATGTTGTCTTAAGTATTTATATGAATGTGTTACTATTTAATTTTGCAAGATTTTTTCTCATTATAGTCTCAAATAGTCAGCTTGTTAAACAATTCCACACCATATGTATGTCATTATATATATATATATATATATATGGGAGTTGAAGAGTTTTATGTATGTAAGTGTATAAGTATATTAGACTGGAGAAAATGTATTACAAATTATATTTTCTAATTTATTGTAATATTTTATCTGATATTTCCAAGGAAGTATATAAATCATGTTAAATTATATTTAATACCAATTTTAGTTGGCAATTTAAAGAATATTATTTAATTTTTGATGATTTATTTAATTAATTTGTATTATTTTTATTATGTATGCAATATATATATATATATATATATTAGATATATATATATATATTAGATATATTTTATTAATGTTTAGCTTAACAATTATTCGCCTAAATTTCTTTAAGTGAATTGTATGTAACTATTTTGTTATTATTAGTTTTAATTATAGATTATTCTAATAATAATTAAACTTGTTATGTAATTAAAACAGAATTTTTTTTTTAATTTTATAAATCTTTTGATTTTGGTACTTCCTTTACATAAATATCAATTCCTACTACAGTTCTTACTATTTAATTTTACCAATATATAGTAGTATAATTTTGTGATTAATATTAAAACTTTTAAATACAATTCCAGTCATTTAAAATTTTATTTCAATTTTTGTACTAAATAAATGTTAAAAAAAACATGTAATTAGCTAGATAAATATCTTATTTTATTAAGATTAAAAAAAAAAATAGTATTTTACATTACTATGGATACAATTGGTTAATGTTTTGACTATTCAGACTCTAAATTGTTATTAATTTGAATAGCATTTATTCAACAATTTATGTTGATGTTGTCTACCATTTGATGTATTAACTTAATGTTTAATATATAAGTTTGGAATTATAACAATGCAACAAAAATTTAGTGTAGAATTAAGTCTTACTTGAAATTTGAAAATATTTTGTTTATATCCTAATGGGTAATTTTATTTGCATTTATTTACAGTGAGATTAAATCTACCAAACAATTGGTATAATTAGTTAATGTGTTTGTTATTTTAATTACGTTTTGTAAAATTGGGTTTAATGTTGTTTGTCGTTGTCTACCCTCATTTTTGCTATTTAATAAAAATAAAAAATAAACCCCCCATCTAAATATCCTATAGCATTAGGTAGTGTGTGTTATCCTGTTTTAGTAAATAAAAATGTGCCTAATACATACATACATTATTTATTTTTTAATTGATAAAATATTTGTTTGTATATTTATTTATGTACATCTTTTTTCTATGTACTTTTTTTAAAGTTTTTATTCAAACATTTGGTTAGCTTTAAGGAATCAGTTAACCTACAAAAACTTTGGTGTTTATTAGGAATTAAATTATAAGATAAATGTCAATAAATTAAGCATTAAAGTTAATTTGAATATAATTATAAGTAATAATAATGAAGTAGCATATTCAATATCGGAATTATTGTAGTATTGTATATAAATTTAAAAAAAAAGTCTGCAGCCATCGGTCAGATGTGTACCAGAGTACAAATTGCATTTATATTGTTTACTTTAATTTATTTATGAATACGCATATATATTTGTACTTTTCTTGCTTAAAATTTTATCTGTCCGATGTGTCAATTATATTGAAAAATAAACGTCTTACTAATAACTTGTATTTTATTTCAAAAATTATGTGTATTATGAACATTCTACATCAAATGTACATGGTAATCCTTACAACACGTATATTAAAAATCATTGTTAGGTAATTTTCACTTTTTAAAGTACTTAAGGTATTTAGTCCTGTCAAATGAGTCATCTAATTCCTCTACAATTTTCACTTTTTTTTTTGGTTTTCTTGCTTCAAGTCTACGTTTACGTTCCTCTTCAGTAATTGAGTTCATGTCTAAAGGTAACTGAAAGCAAATGTAAAAATATTTAAACTGTAAATACATTTAAAATATTATAATATATTCACTTTGATAATTATACGAGGGTCAATGAATCTAACAGTAAAACTGGATCCATCAGGCTGAACAATTTTAGTGTAATAGTGTTGTGGATAAATATTCCGATGAATTTTGGTAATAGCAGCTGTGTTACTGCTAAAACTACGGAAAAATCTAATAAAAAAAAAAAAATAATTAAAATATTGTATTAGAACACAACTTTAAATTATTTAAAATGAATACAACATTCTATTTCATGTGTACAGAAAAAGTTACATCTTTTGAGTTAATAAAATCACCTGATTTTTTTTAATAATTATAATAAAAACTTATAGGTAGGAATTATAAATAATTAATTGAATTATAATATTTCTGTACACACAAAGTATGTTTAATCAAAAAAAAGTAATTTATAACAATATGCAATTTTTAAATTGTACTAAATTTAAACTGGGTCTACTTTTTTTAAAAAAAATTGTAGTTAATCATCATTTAAACAAAATAGTTTGGTTTCTAGTATACTTGGAAATATAATGATTAATTTAAATTGAATATACCTTAAAAGAATTTTGAGTTAAGTTGACTAAAGCACAGAATAAAGATTTTTGTCTTATATTGCTATATGAAACCCAAAATAGTAATTTTTGGACATTTATTTTGTGTGAAGAGAGAATATTTTACAAAACCTAGATTAATGGAAAAAGATTAAAAATAATTACTAATTTTTATCACTGATTATACATGATTAAAGAACTAAGTTACCCTAAGGAGTTTTCTAGATATTTTTGTTTATAAAATAAATCTAATTATTACAAATCAGCAAAAAATCTATAGTAGAAATCCTAAAGGATCCATCTATAAATTCAATTAAGAATCTGGTCTAGAAAATCTAATTTATTTAATGCATTGTTTTTATAATGTCCTAACTGTTGCAGATAACATAAGTTGGAATGAAAATAAGAATACACTTTTTATTTGTTAAATATTAAATGAAAACAGCAATTTCTATTCAATTTATTTATAAATATTGGCTTATTTTTTGTAAAAAGTAATTCTTATGGGATAAACAAAATGTGATTTTGATTACACATTATAATCTATTAACTATTACCACAGAATATATACTGTACTTCAATATTCAAATTCGGTGTCCGCTAAAATTAAATTTTGGTAAAATAATTGAAAACAATAGTTGTAAAACATATGACCGGAATAAACCTACAGAGGCTTGTAGACATTTTAATGTCTAGAAGAAGTAAACACCTTGATCCCAAATGAATAATGTCCGAGCATCACATGCAACAAAGAACCACTCGCACTTTCGTTTTTAATGGTATCGCCGAGTCACACGCGTCTATCGACTATATTCGAAAACTGACGCTTTGAACATGGAAATCAAATAATCCGTCTTTCCGTGTCTGTGAGTATGACAACGAATGTGGTCGGCCAAAAAACAAGATCCTGATGATCTTCGTAATCACGCGGCGATTGATATTAACAACGAACCATATATTCACCTGCTAGTATTCAACATAATATTGATGAAAAGTTCCGACTTCCCTCCGTGTTGCAAGTAAAATGCCAATAATAATTAAAAATTAATCCCAACTCGCAGTCCAGTCGAACGGTACGGATATGCTGCAACAATAACAATAAATGATAACTGACAATATTATCTCAAAATATCTATCATCGAAGTAGATTAAACCACATAATAAATATATATTCTGTGATTAAATTATTAACCTCAGAACGATTTTAATATACAGCCTTCAGTTAAAATGGTATCCCTTCTCATAATTAAATTGTTTGTACTGCAATTTTATATCATTATACTCGTATTATAATCTAATATGAATCATTGGCGTGCGCAGACAGTCTGCAAAGGGGTGTGGGATTCACATTTCACATAAGAAATTTCTAAACCTAACATTCTTGTAATAAATAATAATTAAAATATTAACAGCAGCCTCTATTTTTTAGTGAACCCCGATACAAAGTGTGAAGTCTGAAACTGTAAGTGTGTACTACGGATTCAAGAAATGTGTACCTACAAAATACTATTAAATAAGCCTACTGTGAATGTGTTTTTAGGAATCCAGTTTTAGTAAGACAGCTGATAAGGACTTAAATATATCTATTACATTTTAAGTTATATATCCCATATTAAAATAAAAATTTATAAATAGTTTTCAGATTTATTACAAAGAAAAGTATACTTTCATTTAAAAAAATAATAACGATTTAATAGTTACCCAATTATAATGTGCAATTTGATTAATATAAAAGAACTATTATTAAAATTGTATTAAAAATTATAATCATATGGAAAGGGGTAAAGGGAGGCTCTGTATATCATTTTAAATCTGTAAAAAATGTGTAGCACGAATTTTTATAAAAAATAGGGGGCGATTAACAGTATAATAATAATAAAATAATGTATAAAAACTTAAGCAATACTTTAAAAACGTAACATAACTATTAACTGCATCATACGTTCCACAGAAGTAGGGATTTTGAAAGTAACAATTATACCGTTAATATTTTAATTATAATCAAGGTCTTGCTCACTATATATTGTAAGACCATCCAAACGATTTTGTCATGATTGTGCTTAGTTTAGTTTTCACAATAATAAGCTTGGAAAATGTTCGTTAGCTGGAACAGCTCGTAATTTTTTTTAACCACAGACGTTTTCAATGCTTTGACATTATAAAATATTATTTCACTTCCATAATTGTTTTCTGTTAGCCAATTAATCCAATCACTGCAATTGTTTCTTTCCTTTCGGTGTATTACTTAACGTTCCTCAAATTATGTCGCAAAATATTTTAGTTAGGGACTACCAAAATATAATTATATATGTAAGAATTCATTTTTACAATATATCGTTTAAGTATATGATAAAATGATTAGTGTTTTTTAGTGTTATTAAATTAAAGCACAGCAAGTTTTTTTTTAGGATCGTCTGTCTAATAATTTATGATATACATTATGCATTTATTTAAGGACCGACTTCGCATAAATGTTAGGAAACACTGTATTAGGTGACTAAATTCACATTAAACGTATACTGCAACAATTCAGCCTCTATTTTTTTTCTACAAATTGATAAAAATTATAAAATAACAGTCCTCTCTATTCACTTTCAAATGATTATAATTTTTAGTAATAGTTTTTTTTTTTTTATTATTAATCAAATTGCACATTATAGTTAAGTAACAACTAATCTGTTAATATTTTTGAACTTAAAATATAATTATATCTGGTAAAAATCTAATATTATTAACTATTAACAAATTATTTATTTTGATGTGGAAGTTATAATTTAAAATCTTATAGATATATTTAAGTCCTTAATAGTCTTCTTGCTTAAAACATCTTCATTTATTAGTATTTAGTAGGTACACACTTCTTGAATCTAGTGTACACTTCCAATTTTGGACTACACTTTGTCAGGGTTCATTAAAAAAATAGGATCTGCTATGTTTACATTCACTATAAAAAAGCAACAGAGTGCAGAGGCATTTTTCTCAATCATACAACAACCAATAGCAGTTGCTAAGTAGTTTATTATATATTTTATTATAATTATTATTATTTTGTATAAATATGTTAGAATGTAACATTTTGAAAATTATCAACTAGAAAAGTACTAGACTTCAGGGTTTTAAAAAGACCGAAATGTAGATCAACAGTTAATACAAAACACAAATATGATATACTTCAGTTTCATTACATCCTAAACGAACTAATTTTATAATTATTGATTACATGTAATTTAAAAAAAATGTTATCAGATAATAGTTAAAGTAACAATTAAAGTCAATCATGCTTATTAAAATCTATTAGCGCACAATATTTATAAACTAATATTTTTATATTGTTTATTATGAAAAAACTACAATTTTATTTGTGGGTCTAACAAAAAAAAAAAATTTTAAATTCCTTCCAAGATGATTAATTAATTAAAATATTTTGAAATAACATTTGTGGGATTTCAGATTTAATAGGTAATATTTCTACTTCATTTAGCAATAATGTCTAACATACATTTATTAATATAATCTGATATTTTTCAATTTAAATGCTATGAATAAGTAATATAATGAAAAAAGGATTTTCCAGTGAATTATTTATAATTTATATCATTAATAAGCAAATAATAAACCAAAATGATACATAAAATTGAGTATAACACATAATTTTGAATTTTTTTTTAAGTTTGTTTAAAAATTATAATATTTAAATAATGGTTGTCAATTGATTTAATGGAGCGTCACATTCGATAATTTAACAAGTAGCATAAACAGGCAGCAGTACAAGTGATTTGAATGCCATGTTCAAGGTACATGCGAGAAAAATTAATCAGTAGTGAAAAAAAAAAATAAAAAAAAAAAAAACAAAAAACAACATAAAAGCTAAAGAGAACCAAAAACCAGAATATAATGATATTTTTCAAGTTCAACTAAAAATTTAATCGTCATCATCTTCTTCATCTTCGGACTCAGCTTCAGCTAACCATGTTAGCCAAGTGTTAACTTGGAACAACGCTTTCCCTTTTCCTGGATATGCATCTGTTACATCTTCACGCCACTTTAAGAAAGCTTCTTCTTCAACAAATTCCAACTCGTACATTAAATTGAACCATCTAAGCAACAATCCTTTAGGAAAATCAAGTGAATAGAAATATGTTTGTAATGCATAAATAGCATTCATTTGCAAATCAATGCGGTCATCAAAAAATGTTCTCATAATTGGCTTGAATTTTTCTAGTAGACTTTTCTCCTTTTCTAAATCAGATTTTGGGGCATTTACTTCTGTACTATTTGTCTCTTGAGTAATAAATTTAACCATCACTGTGGTTAATGCTGTTATAAAACCAGGATCGGTGTAATGGACGGGATCTAAATTTTCTTTGATCCATTTATAAAATTGAGTTGGATTTGGATCGCTAGTGATTTGTTTCCATAAATCAGATTGTATACGTAACAATGGAAAAAGGAAAGTCAAATTACGTTCTTGTAAAATTTCTGCAAGTTGTTCTTTAGTTCTCAATGAATCTGGTAATGTATTAAGTATATTGACTTTGCTTTCTTTGAATACTGTTATTAATTCATTTTTTCCAATTACTTCATTCAACTCTTGTAAAACCATTAAAAATGCTGGATATCTTTTGCCATTTTCTGATACTTCTGCAAGTTCTGATAAAGAAGAAACATTTTGACATATTTCAGCAGCATACTTGGAAAAACGTTTGTATAAAGTTTTATCATCATCAGACTCATACTCAGGTCCTTTCAATATAAAACGTTTAAGACAATCTATGGCAAATACATCAGAAACAATATTTTGTTTTTTAGTCTCCTGTATAAAACGGAATAATAATTCTTCATCCAAATCAACTCTCTTGCGAAGTCGATCAAATAGAAGGACATACATCACATCAGCCAAAAATCTATCCGGTACTTTAATATCAGCAAATGCTTTAACTGCTTTAACAGCATCCATCGATGGATCAGTGCAAAGTTTATCTAAAATATCTAATCCTTTTTTAATTGCTTCTTCTTTAGAAACACCTTTATCTTTCTTTAAGTGTTTATGTTTATCGTGAGCATTTTGTTTGATCTGAATTTGTTGTATTTCTGTTGATTTAATTTGATTAGATTGACCCATGTGAGTCATAGAAATTGGGGGCGGTTTCAATTGAATTGGCTTACACAACATACTATTAGCAGCTGGACGTAAGGACATGTCTTCTGGTTTTGTGCCCTGTTGTGCACGCAAAAGTTTTTTAATATTGGGACCTAGATCTTTCATGTTGTTGTTGTTCATATTATTATTAGTATTATTATTTTGCTGAGTGTTAATGGTATAATTTATTCTAGCTGATGAATAAAAATTGTTGCTAGAATTTAGATTCAATAATCCTTGGTTCTTGCGACCATTAACATTATAATAATTACTTGAATTGGTAAAACCATTTATGGAATTAAATTTATCCGGCATTGTTGAGTTAAAAGGTAACACCGGAGTGGAACTTATCATATCATCTCGTATTTTTAGTGAACGTCTAAACATTTCTTTTGACTGATTCACATTTTGCATTTGGTTATTTCTCTGATTCTGCCCGTTTGTCTCTCCACTTACAATATCAGTCACCTATGAACAAACAATAAAAATTATAAATATTTATTCAAGTAAAAATCTTTAATGTTTATAATTTTTAAGTCATTATACAGAATACCTAGATAAATTATTATCACAATTATTATAATAATATGTAATCAAGGTACATTTAAAAGTTGATGTAGAAATTCTATTGAATTTAATGTAATATTTAAATTAATCTAAATATATTTATACATACATTTATAAAAAGTGTTTAATTTCAAAATTGATTCATAAATATTTATACAGAAATTCCTAATGAAATATAAAGTTTTCCCGAACTAGAATTTATGGAATAATTTATATTAATAATAAACTAACCTGATCCATGAGCATAGGACCTTCTGTGGTAGTAGCTTTTCGTGGTACCCAGTTGTCCTTTCTCAATTGCATGGTGTCCAACAACATAAATTTGATTCTCAACGGCAGTTCAGGATTTTCAGCATACTGAGCAATTCTATCAAAATACTGATTCATCAGTGGTTTTGCTTTTTCCGTGTCCAATATGCGACCACATGTTTTCATTATCTGACACAAGCACTCGAGGTCCTCCGCCGCGTCCTTGACATTGGACTTCCGCGGGAATAACTGTTGAATGCACAAGTGCAATATTTGTTCCGCCACAATCTCCAACTTGCCAAGTTCGCCGATGAAGCGTATGTTGCCCAACATCTTGCGCTTAGCCACCTAATAATTAGAATACATAAATATATTATAAAAATAAAAAAAAATATTTGCTATAATAATATTTTCTATCTTTAGTTCATTACTTTCATAATTTGATAAATATTAATAATTAAATAATAGAAAAAAAAAATGTTTTAAATATTACATACAACTAGTTTCAGTGATATATTGATTATAAACAGGTTGTGATAAACAGGCTTTGTAAAATATTAATATTACTTTTCAATGTAATTAAATATATAAAAAAATTATAAAAAACTATACTACAAGATACATTTATCCCAACTTAAAAAATTTAACTAATCAACAATTAATGGATAAAAACTTAATAAAATTGTAAGAAAATAATTCAATTTAATTATTCAAACCTGTCGTCTTTCTTCGTCTTCTGGAGATAATGGTGTTCCATTGTCATTGTCAAACTCAGCAGTTGCTTGGGAACGGTTATCAAACTCAACCTTACACCTTTTCAGTAATAATTCTCGAAAAGTGTTGGGATCTTGATCAATTAAGAAATTCGATGCTTCGTCGCTAAGCCGTTTGCATAGCTGTGCGTACATAGAACTATACTTAGGTTCATCGAGAGCTTTTTCGAAAATCAAAAATATGACACCCTTCAGGACAACGCTGGTGTTTAATCCAATTTGCAAAATGTCGTCGCTCAGTTTTTGAAATTTATCTGGCGTAAGCTTATTAAGAATGCCGCGCACCTTGCGAAACACGGCATCATTGGCGTCCTCTTGGGCGAGTGCATCGCGTCTGATTATCGAGGGAGGTATCCAACGCGGTTGCTGATTGGATTCAGAACGGGCGTCGTCCCTTCCTCCGAAGACACGAGAAGCACCCCCGCGTTCTGCGTAGACGTCCGTCGTGTCTTTACGTGTCACCTGCTGGGACGAATATGTCTCCTCCTCTTTCGTATCCAACAATAAACTGGATATTATGATATGAGACACCAGTGTAGGTGTATAAAAGTTGACACTTCAGGATAAATATAAGTACATAAAATCTTAAATATTGGATGAGTATCACAGCTAAATTCCATGCAAATATCTATAACAAAAACAAAACAAAAATATATGATTAAATAATAGAGTATTAAATAAACATTAAATTATATTTTTTTTAGTTAATTTTTATATCTGATGAAGCAAGAGAAAACAAAAGCAATGAAAGTAGTCATGAAAATGAACGTTAAAGGGAAATGAGGAAGAGGAAGACTAAAAAAGAGATGGTTAAATATAATTGTGAATGATATGGAGGCCGTTGGTATGCGTAGGGAATGAAAAAATCGAAACAAGTAGAGGTTTAGGACCAAGGTAGCCGCTCTAAATAGTTAGGAAAAAGGTGAAGGAAAAGATTAAAAATTTTTAAATTAATTATTATATTAAACAACCAATACCATGGTCTTGGGTTTTAAAAACTTTGTTAAATTTATACATATATTAATGTATATTTTATTGATTTAATATTTTATATAAAATAAGTTTTTTTTTATATTACTATTGGTGTAAACCAGCGGTTCTTAACCATTTGTAGATCACGGACCCCTGATGAAAGATTTTTAGAAATTGTGAACCCTCTTACTAATTTTTTTGTCAAATACTTTATATTACAAAACATCTCTATTATTAAAACCAAAATTATAATAATTATTTATATTTCACTTAATTTTTCAGTTAACTTAAATTTAATTATTATAGTTTTAATCTCTTTTTTTAATATTCTTAAAATTTAATTTTTACTAGCTTAATACGATGGTTGAGATACAAATTTTATAACATCGTATAATAAAATCTATCTAGTATATAATCAAAAATATATTAAAAAAAAATAATAATAATATTAATCCAACAATAATATAATAATGCACTCATGTTATGTATTGGTATATGTTGTGTTAGGGCTGCCGCAGACCCCTGACATAAATATCGCGGACCGCTAGATGGCCGTGGACCACAGGTTGAGAACCGCTGGTGTATACAATTTATTAAAATAAGATATTCTTAATCCAAAATTTTAGATATTTAAATTTATTCAAAATATAATTTTTCGAATTTAAAGTATGATGATGGAAGTACAATACTATATTTTATATCAAATTGAGATTAAATAAAATAAACTAATTTAAAAGAAAAAATCGGTTTTAATATCAGTTGAATTTTATTTTGATTATTGTAAAAATAATTTCAATAAATGGTAAAAATAAAGAAATAATTTGTTAGGATAATTTATTAAAATGCAATCATAAGTAGAAGGCTAGATCATGGTTTAGCAACTATCTAAGAATTTAGTAACATAGAACTTCTTATACAAAATGTTATGTTCAGAATAATTTCAAGGAAAAAAAAATTAATTGAGGATCTATATGCTAATAAAATAATGATTACATTTAATGGACACAAGAAAAAACCTTTACTAATATAATTCATTCAAATTTATTAAAATTCAAATGTTTAAATAAAAAAAAATCATATTAAAATTATAATACAAATAATAAATAGTAATTATCATATTTGAATTCCAAAATATCCTAAGTTTTTTGACTGACATTATTAGTATTTAAATGCTGTATTTAATAAGAATAATAAAAAATACAAAAATGTTCTCAAATCTAAAATAATGAATTAATTAACTACATGATATAGAAATGTAGAATGACCATAGATGAAAACAATAACATTATAATTTAATTGGAATTAACATACACCGACCCTACAATAATTACACCAAATAATACATCTTTTGTACATTATGGAGTATAGTTGTATAGTTAACCAAGAATTTTTTTAAACGTTCTCTGTAAGATTGATCACTGCTCTTAAATTACAATTGCAAATTAACAATATTGACAAATAAGTAGATTAAGATATTTTAATCAGGGTTTTAAGTTTTAGCTGGAACACCTAATAGTAGACATTAGGTTAAAGAAAATCGTAAATTAATTATGACGATAATTTATATTAAATAATTCTTGGTAATATTAGATTTTTACAAGATGACAAACACATTAGTCAGCTGATTAAGCTCAGCACCTGATACACCTATGCATGGATTCGAAGGGTAAAACACTATTTTATGTCAAACACATAAGTAGCTGTCAAAAAAAAAAAAAGAAAAGAAGTTAATATACTATGCGATAATGATTATCTGTGATAGGTAATAGTTATAATCAATACACACAGTGTATTATACAAAATCAAAAGAATACCATTGCGTAGTTCGTTGTTACTCTTATAGGTTAAGAATGAAAAGTGGAGACAACAAAGGACACAATAGATTTAATTGGCTACGAAATTTCCAGTTCCTGGTATAAAAGATTAAAATAATAAAAACCTACAAATATTAAAATAATTAATATTGAAGAACATATAAATAACAGAAACGTCGATCGAAGAACACGAACGTCGACGTGAGGAACGGGGAAGGGTGACGACGATGACGACGGTCGTCGCCCCCTAGACTATCACCGGAAAAGATATTTTCTGTCCAAAAAAATACATAAAATATATACAAACCGGGGTGAACCGAGACCGATAACCGAAAGAAAAATCGGCCGATCAACAGGTAAACAATAAAAATGTACCGAACGACAACGCCTAGGCGACCAAGGCAAACTACGCGAAAAGCAAACACAGCTATACTGTAAACTGTATACTCGTAAACTGCGGATGCACGGATTCAACACACGATCACACACACACGCATTTACGCTTATACTGGCGCACACTCGTACAGTCATACGAATACACACACAAATACAGACTAGCATACAACACCACAGCGTTGCATACCACTAGTCATTATCGACCAACTAAAGCGCACGCCGCCGAACATTTTTACCTTATTATTCGAAGAAATCCACCGAGGAGAACACAAACGGTACTGGACGACGGACGTAGAAAAAGACAAATAATTTTATATTAATAGATAAACGTGAGTCGCGAGACTCACAATAGAACGAACGAGGAGAAATAAAACTTTGTAAAATAGGAAGTATGTGTATGTGTGTGAGAGAGAGAGAATGAGGTGAGTGAGTGACGGAATGAGTGTTATATGTGTGTGTAAATAGTATTCTGGAAAATCAACTTACATACAGTGCGTCTGTGTTTGTCGGGCAATCATGACGGGAAATGCGAATTGATTGCCATTGGTGGGGGTAACAGGGAGAAGCAGACGCCGCACGGAACTATCGATATCCCAAGCGCTTGGTGCGCAGTGCGGGCAATCGCGTTCTGAGCAGTCTGGCCAACAAAATAGCAAAATCACCAGTGTGCACGTCGCACACACTGTGCGAGTTCCCGACGCGATGACACCGTATGCTCTGCAATCGACGCTTACTGGAAGAGCCTCTAATGCTAACGTTTCGGGGCGACGGTCGTCGCGCGAGGCAACGCGACATTAGGCATATTCTGTACAATAATAATATCGATATTTGATAAATTATTGATGTTTGTTGTCCACATTTTTTTCAGTTACAAAATTGAAAATTAAGTGTTAGGTAACAATTCTTTAAGAGAAATTTTTTTACTTTTATTTATATTTTAATATTTCATTGCACCATTTAATTTAATTATAAATTCCAATATTTTTTATCGAGTAAAAATAAATATGTTAATGGTTTTTTAATTTTATGTTTTGGCAACTTATGAACGTTTAAGTGTATAATCTAGAATGAAAACTAATTCAGAAAGGAATGAGTATACGATGGATTGTAGACATTTGGATTTTTTTTTTATTGATTGGTTTTGAAAAGAGATTACTTTTCCCGCAATTAATTTAAATAGAAATTGGTAATATAATTTTCGTAGCAGTTTTGAGACAGCCTGGTCAGGATAGAGAAAAATAAATATCAGTGATACATCGATATAATCGTATGTATTAAATATCAAATTATATTGATGTACCAAAGCAAAATATCGATATTTCATAATATCAATATATCAAGCCCATGCTTACGCAACATTGGCCGTTGACCTATGAACGTTGAGTACGCTCCAGGCCAGTATTGGCCATGGACTTTTTTTATACCCGCGCCACCGACTAACTGCGATTACGATTTCGATCGTACATATAACCAACGATAGATAAACGTCCTTGCCAGAATTACAGCGGCATCGTCATAGTTTTTTCTTACAGTATTGTTTTATAAGATCTGACCATCAGGTTCACATAGACAATCGCTGTAATCTGTTATTTATCTCGTTACAATTTTCCTCTTAAGAAGACGCCACACCCATATGTGTTGTCTCCGTCTTACACACATGCAACATGGCAAATATGCTTTCAGTAGTTCAGATGTAGTGATTTTAGTTTTAATATTCAAGTGAACTGTCCTATAATAAAACTTTAAGGAAAGAACATTAGTTATCTGTGTTTTGTTGATCAGTTTTTTCCGATATTTTAATTTTCAAGCGAGTTATGAGTTTTATTAAATTGTAATAATTTACATACTCATGACTCCCATAAAAATTTGAATATCAGAAAAAGCAGACCAACAACACACAGATAATGTTTTTCCCTTAAAGTTTGATTAAAAGTCAGTTTACTCTAATATTAAAGCCAAGGGCGCCCGCAGATGAAAATTCAGAGTGGGGACACCATTAATTTTTATTAATAATCAAACACTTTAATACTAATTAAACAATTTTACTAATTGAACACAAATTGCAATTTTATTTTATTTTCCCAAATTCATCAACAACTTTTTTAGCTAAATGAAATTCTTCGATTTTTTTTCTGTGTAAACTTAACATACATAATCCGGATAAACGATTCTTACACACTGTTGAACGTAACCAGCTATAAATATTGATACACCTTGGTACCAATTATGATTTTTGGAATTTTGGGTTATTTAATTTGGATATAATTATTTTAAATAGCTGGAAAGTTAGGAGGGATTGTCCTCCCTTGCCCCTCCTTGCGGGTGCCCTTGATTAAAATTAACATCACTAAATTTGAACTACTGAATGCAAATTTGTCATGTTGTACGTTTGTCAGCCGAAGACAATAAATGCGGGTATGACATCCTCTCAGTGCTCGACTTGAGGGGGGACGCAAGGGGACGGAGTACCCCAACTAATTTTCAGAAATGTTAGCGTCCCCCTACCACTATTATGTTATAATTATAACGCTTAACAAGTTTTGGGGACGCTCTTTTTTTTAAAGTAAATAGAGTCCCCCTTTTTTAATTTTTCCAAGTCGAGAATTGCATCCTTTTAATACCAGGTTTAGCGCTTTCGCATGCGTCATTTTAATCAACTCGTGATTTTTACGAAACATCGTGAATAATATGATTCAAAATTCCACTAGATTATCTTTTCTGTAATGAATGACTTGATCGGTCTTTCGGAGGTATTTTTCAAATAACCAAATCATAGTAATATTCACTGATATGACTATGTACTAGTGTGCACGATCTGTAACTTTAGAGACCGGACTAAACTGAAAATTGAAAATAATTTTTAATAGTTGACCGAGACCAGACTCATTCTAATTTTTTTTTTCTGATTCAAAAAATTTCAAGTTGAGAAAGTTTTGAATTATACCACATAAATAGTAGGTGATTGGTATACATTTTTATATTTACAATGTGCATAAAACAACGGTGCAGGGGTAATATTTTGAGATCCATAATAATATACCTAAGTGTTATTAATTCTATAAATAATGTCTTAAAAACAGTTATTAAAATATTTGGTAAATATATGAATATTTCTAATTATAAATTTTTCACTATAATTTTATATTTTTATTGCACGTATAACGAATTACCTGTCTGTAAACACAAATGTTTTATCACATTATCATTTTTAGATTCTGACTGGAGTGAAGGATATTATGGTTTTATAATGATGTTTGTATTTTATTTATTTAACACTTTTTCGGATACTGGTCCAAAAGTTTTTTCTAGGACTTTTTTAGATTTTAAATTGGCATGCGGTGGTACTTTAGATAGGTCATTTTTTTTAAATCGTAATTGTTTTTCTAGAGGTGACTGTCCTAAAATGGTAAAAATACGCTGTAAATAAGACTTTCACAAAAAAAATGAGGCCCCCTCCCCGCATAAATAAAAAATGGACTCTAAATATTGTTTAGGTAGATATATTTGTTTAAAAACATTAATCTGATATAGGTAAATCACTTATTTTAATTACAATTTTGTTACGATATGATAAAAAATAACAATATTTATTAATATTACTATTGATTATATATACTATAGATTGCTCACTGGCTGGTTTTCGATGTCATAAAAAAAAAAAATTCTGATAGAGGACGATTCAAAACTAATAATAATAAAATCTTATTTAATTTTGGCCGTTGTGTCGTAAGGATGGCAGAGACGAGTGTGTATTGATCAGTATATTATACGGGCACCATGTACGGATAATTATCATATTTTGTTTAATTCATTTATATTATTTTGTTTGGTGGTTTAACATGGAAGTCCAAGTATACAAGAATATACTAAACATTCGGAAACATTCATATATTTTTTATTTTGAGAAAATTATTTATTATAATATAATTATGAATCTCATGTAGACATTTTAGTGTCCTTAAGATTCCCCAGGGCAGATTAGTTACGTAGAGTAAGCTTTATCGTTAATATTGTTATTACTTATTGTAGGTATTTCCACATGATAAGATTATACATACTATAGATTACCATGATTACCATAAGATTACGAACATTTAATAATAATAATAGATTATTATAAACATAGATTAATGCTAATTTAATTTGAAAAAACAATTATTCAATTTTTTTTCACGGGAATTAAATTTATTTTAACCAATGGCCTCAAATTACCGTGGGCCCCATTTCCGCAATTATCTGCGTACCCCCAGATACGCCACTGATTTTAGTTGAGAATATTGTGTTGTGCTAGTATGAGTAGATGTCAAAAACGTACAGTTTAAATAAATGGAGTTTATGTAAAACGATTGTAAACATGAAATCAATTAAACCAAGTACCATACTGATTTTTATTTTTAATCTCCTTTTTTTAATGATTTTTATTATACCTTTCAGAAGTAACAGCAATTAAATATTAAAATATATATAAATATATAAAATAAAATTTTATAAATTTATATAATATTAAAAGCAATTAAAAGGAAATTCTTTTAAGAACTTATGCGCAAATGTTCAAAAAAAAATTGGCAAAAATTTAACGTACAAGTACATGGAAAACGAGCTTATTAAAATAACAAAATGCCTGACAATCAGGGCAGCATTAGCACATAGGCACTATAGGCACTATAAGCACTGTGGATAGAGCCTAAGAACATTTTTGGGCCTACGGAAATGTGTGGCTACGATTTTATTGTAGTATGCAAATTGGTATAAAAAAATATTTTTATGGTGTTTGACAATTTATATTTTATATGTTTTGAATTAAAATGAATTTTTTTCAACATTTTTTAAAACTTTTATCGTGTAAAAATGTATAATAAATATGATATAAAAATTTAGATTTGATTTTTATGTTGTAAATATTATTGTTTTAAAAGCTAAACACTGCATGAGATTCAACACTTCCTCTCATAAAGAGAAGGTTTCTTAACCATTTAAATACTGGAAAACGGCCCTGAAGGACTAGGGGCCTAGGGCCTACGATAGTGTTAATCCGGGCCTACCGACAATACATTGCGATACAATATATTAAGATTTTTTGCCGATCCAAGTACATCTTCACAAATCACTGGAACAGATATAAATTTGATTCAAAAATTTAAAATGATATTAGAAGCAACATCTAGTGGTCATAGTATAAACTTATGTAAAAATTTGAGAAATTCAACTAGATAACTAACATTATCATTTGCTTCCAGTACTGAATTCAATGATATGTATTTCATATTTTTTGCTTGGAAAGAGTCCAATAATATTTTGTTCGTTTCTTCTGCTGTATAATATTTTGATGTCATAATGGTCTTCGCAAATAACCAGTATATTGATATTTCTATGAGGTCTTTGATACTAGAATATATGTTGTCTGCAAGTTTTTTTGCAACAGTAACTAATCCTGTCAACAAAGTAATTTTTTTTTTTCGAATTTTGGATATTTTCCATCTCCTATTTTTAAGTGTCCTGTCTCATTTTTAATGGATTCGCTTATTTTTCGTTAAAAAATATTTTTTTATTTGAAGTCACAAATAATACTTGATGCATGCTGTAATTTCATTAGATCGAGTTCTTCTGGATAAGACTGATAGTGTTTTTCGAAAATTTCCAGCTAGTGACTCCTAAAATCAATACATTTAAATTATTCAGATCATCCAGTCAGTTTTTTAAAGCCTCAAATAATTTCTTATGAGACGTTGAACTTTTATTCCAAACTATGAGTTAGTATTTTTTTAGAAATGTGACTTTATTAAATTGTACATTAATATAAGCCGATCCGACAAATGTTGTTTTGTCATATAAATCATTTCTAGAGAATATTTTGCTGGAAAAGAATAACTATATTTTATATAAGTGTGTAAGGATGTGGTATACAAGTGGAAGAGGTATGGAGTGCCGTGATCGGTGACGGAATATAAAAATGAAAAAACATCAAACATTTATTTTTTTAATAATTTATTAAAATTGTTCCTTTAAAATTATATATATCGTTAATTATGAAAATATTAGTAAAAAACAGTATTAATGCCTTAATGCAACAGAGTGTACAATATTTTTTGTCATCCCATCTTTCGCCAACACAAACAAACTGGATTATTCGAGAGAACGCCATGTATAATTGTTCGTGTGAAAAACACGATGTGCTCAAATCTAAACCATAAACAGATATCGCTTGGCTTTGAGACTTATTAATAGTCATTGCAAATGCCAATCTAATTGGAAATGATGGCGTTTAAATTGTATTGGTACATCTGTGGGTATAATAAGGATTCGCGGTAATAATATAATTTCACCACGGAATTTGCCATTAAAATGATGGTTTCGAAAACATTTTTCATTCATTTTTTAATGACTACTCGCGTACCGTTGCACAACCGTGGTGGGTTCAAATTACGAAGCAAAATAACCGGATATCCAACCTTCAGTTGTAAATTATGCGATGATATGCCTGGTTAATCCAATGAGTTTAAAAACTCTGTTGGATGATTTACAGCTTCAGTAGCATCGCAAACTGTATTAATAGATTTGTATGGCACCAAGTCTCCTGGTAACAAATGTTGTACCTTGAGATTCAATTCGTTGACGTCCACATTTTTTGCTGCTAAAATTGCTCTTTCTGCCAGCCACTTATGATTTGTGTATTGTCTGTGTACATTGGGAAATATCTGGTCAATGAGAGCATCTTGCTAATCAATAAATATGCCAGAAATCGATCGGTAATTGTATGCATCCAGTTTCATCTGTAGTAACTTTCCCATCAGCGATATCTAACAATTGTTTTGAGAATCTTCCGCACGCAGCTTTTTTTGATTGAAACACAAGTATCGTAATCGTTCGCTCTCTATCTTTACATACATGTCGACCATGAATTGTTGACCAAGCTCACGACATCGTAGAATAACGTTGTCTTAATCACATCTAATCATCAACTGATATGCATAATAATCCTTCGAACTAAAATTCTTGTTTGTTTTGGCGCCTGTTACGGGATCTTGTTTAATATTTATGCAATACTCATCATTAAATACCAAAAATTAAATTAATAGTTTTTAAGTAGTTTTTAATAGTTTTTTAATAGTATCATTTAATAATTCATTTTCAATTGCGCATTTATAGACCGGGTCAAAGATTATTAAATTAAACTACGATGTATTAAAAAATAGCACTTAAGAGTATAAAAAATAGATAAAAACCTATTCGCAGACCTACCAAATATATATACAAAATTTCATTAAAATCGGTTTAGCCGTTTTGGAGGAGTATAGTCACAAACACTGTGACACGAGATTTGTATATATATAGATTACACGTTGGAGTCTCGATAGTATTTAGATTAAGTAGCAACTTTAAAGCTGAATGAACAGTTTTTCTCCGAGTAAAAGCGTAGCAGCAATTTCTGATAATGCAGCTGCAAATGCAATCCCATATGAGGTTCTTATTTTAATCAAAAGTAGACTGATTAAGTATTATATTTAAGAATAACATTTCACTTTTACAGTAAACCGACGACTTTATTTACAAATCTCTTATCGTAGTTTCTATTCTCTACACCTTATTCACAATGAGATCAGTACTCAGCGGCCATCTACTGCGTATGGGTGTGGCTTTGTTCCGGAACTTCACCTGGAGTGCTTTTTTCTACGGGAGTGTCGCGTTATTTTACAAGCAGCGACTAATGAGTAAACTTAATTTAAAGTGTACAGCGTGGTACGATAAATGTTATAATACATATAATAATTTTGCATTCTCAGTGACGCGGAGATTATGTGAACGCCACCGGAACGCTCCTATAGAGAACACTACATGTTGAATCAACGAATGGAGGGGGCCGACCGGCACACTACCACTGAGTACTAATCTCATTGGAAATATGGTATAGTTTAATAAAGCCTACTCAATAAGTTTAATTTGTTCCATATTATTTCATTAATATGTTTTTATCCACCATGAAGTTAAGAAGTTAACAGGTAATGTGACTAAAATTAATAAATGTACAGAAAACTTGGAAATAATCACGGGACATTTCACACAAAGCAATCAATGTTGTAATTGGACGGTATTTCTCTTGTATATTTTTACGATGGTTACATTATCAATAATCCAATAACAATTGATGAAAGGCCCAGTGTCTCCAAAACACCTTTAAATGTAGAAATTCCAAATACCATAATTTATCAATTGCATACAATTATTTTTATGATAACAGTGCAGTCATAATAACACATATAAAGCACATGCGGCAATATGGACGCAGACGGACTACCGTCAAAATGAACATTTTCCAAACACGTTTTGAACGTGTTACGGGAGAGCGTGGGCCCTTAAAAATATATCAACGGAAAGGGGAAGTGATGTATTAAAATGTGTGAAAATATCTAATGGAACACTATGCCCGATTTCGAGGTATAAATTAAAATTATTAAAAAAATGCTGCAAAGGGACATTGCAAACTGTTGGTTTTTTAAGGGTTTCAGTATAGGTAATTAGTTTAGTGCGTGTGTGCATAACTTAAAGGTTAGTCGTTATTGGTACCCGGTCGTTTAAAGTTTTTGTTTTTATCATTTATAGTTTTAATACAAGTTGTTGTGGCTGCACTGTTGCCTTGGCAATTATTGTATGCAGTTGACAAATTATGGTATTTGGAATTTCAACATTTAAATGTGCTTGGGAGACACTAGACTTTTTTCAATTGCTATTGGATTATTGCTTAACTAAAAATCGTATTTTTTTTTGGCATTTTCCGATTTATGTATCCATATTTTGAATGTGCGTCAAATATTTCAAATTTCGGTATAATATATAATATATGTAATAATTTTACCTCCAATGATTAAATTCAATCAATAATTCTGACAGCTTCATGTGTTCTTAGTTTCATGTATAGCCATATCTCAGAACTTATGAAATTAAGTCCTTAATTATTCTTAACAACTATTTAGTCTGACCTATTTCGGAATATAGAATCCTTATAAACAAACAATTATTTATAATTATTAAGGATTTTCTTTTATTTACATCCCGGTCCCTACGATTGGATGCGAAACCGGCAACCAACCATCGACCGGTCAGGTTGGTAACACTAATCTAAGTTAACCTAACCCAACTCCGTCTGTACGTAGATGCCTTTCTTTCTCTTCTTTGTTAATGCTCGTACCGTGAACTCATACGTAATTCTTGTTTTTATGGTGCATTATATTTAACCGTGTACTCTAATCTTAAGAGCTTAATGCTCATGACTAGGGAACGGATTTATATGTAAATACATATTTTTATTAAAACGAGATATTTAAAATTTGATAAGAAATGTTCATGATTTAAATCATTCCTATTAATATGATGCTACTTTTATTTTACATATTTTTACATATTTTGGTATAATTACATATTTTTACATATTTCACTAATTTGTAAATATTTTTAAACATATTTTATTATTTCATCATTCATACGTCTTCTTCGTACAAAAATACAAGAAATTATTTCAAATTTATATCCAGAACTTCTATCGCTATTAGAAAAGCTCAAAATATTATGCAAAATGAAACATTGAAAACTAATTTAATTTTCATCTCAGTGAATTTTAGTTTTATTGCACATACATTTACAAAATTAGAAACAAAAATATGTCCTTGAATGAAAGTATGCAAATTGTCGAATCAAGGATTGCAAAATGAAAACTCGTAAACGGACCAATAGGAGAAGTAATAAAAAAGAAAATTCCTATTTTTACCGAAAAAAATTTCAGGCCATATTTATTTTAAATCAATCAATGACATAATGAGTGGCAGACACCCTTCTAAAAATTTGGAATTATCGCCTTCTAATATTATGCCTTTCAAATATGCTTTAATCAACCGACGTAGGTTGATGTGGAACGATCATTTAACCGTTTTAAAAATATTTTCAGATCTAATAGGCGACATTTAATATTTGATAATTTAAAATATATTGTAATAATTCAATGCAACAAATCATTTTGATAATTTGATAATTATAATTTTTTTTTTTTAATTAAATTTTTTTCCTACATATTTTATAAATATGTATAAATATGGTTTTAGTACATATTTTATAAATTATACTTACATACATATGTACATATTTATGTATTTTTATTACATATAAACCCGTTCCCTACTCATGACTAGAGCCCGGATATATGCATTTGCACGTTTGTACAAAGTTTATACACGTATATGGAGGTTTAAAATATCCACAATTCATATCACACCGAATTTAAACACCAAATTTTATATTGCATACTTTGCATATTTCGAGGGTTATTGCATATTTGTTCATAAATACATATAATATGTATATTTAATGGGTTTTTATAAATTAAAATTTTTTGTAAAGTTTTCTATTCGTTTCTTGAGAGTAAGTAACTTCAAATAATCTGAAATATTTATTTTTAGTTTTTTTTTTATTATTATAAAATTACTTTAGCTCCAATTAATCATTGTCGGCTTTTAGTTTTATATCATAATATCATATGAAAATATGATATTAATTTTTATAAAAGAAGATTAAATCTTTTTCAATTTTATCTTTAACCAAGTATCAAAAGTTAAAATCTAAATTCAATGAAATTACAATATATATGTTTTGAACCCCTTCCGAAAAAAATTTCTAGATACAATCTTGTTTGATATATATTTTGATAATATAATATCTAAACCGTTATTATTAACTATTATAAAGCATGTAAAAAATACTTATCAATACAATACATTTATGAAAAATTTATATTTCATTCAAGCCATAAAAATATTGTCAAAGATGTTCTATTGAAATACAAGATATATTTAATTAGTGATATTACTATCAAAAGTAGTCAAAACATATTATATCAATATTATAAAGGTCAATCAAAATGATAGACATATGTGATGATCTTTATGTGTTTATGAGTAAAAACTGGCTTTCTAGTGACTCACTTTTTTTACTACGTATCATTATTTTTCAATCATCTCATATTTTTCACTATAATCTAGAGTTTCTCACTTTTCTCGCGTTTAATAAATTGGTATTTAAAGTATTTACTATTTACTATTTATTTAAATTAATTAATAATAAATAAAATAATTTTATTTATGTTATCAATAGTATTTTTACATCATTTAGACTTGATATTATTTAATAATTTGTGCCAGAATCATTTTTTATTTAATACTTATTAATAAGGTGTAACACACTTCAACTCACTATCTTTAAAAAAAACTATTTTCACCATTTTAAAAAACGGTAGCTTTTAAAAAGGCTGTTAAAATATCATAGACATAATATATATGTTATATTATACGTCCATGTAAAATATAATTTATTCTGTGGATGTACCATTGTTCCTACATGCATTTATGACGATAAAATAATAAGCGTTATCGTCAACATGCTGTGATCATTGAACTATATGATAACATATAATATATGTTATCATATAGTTCAATGGCTGCGATATGAGGTTAGATTATCACCACGGTCTTACCTACCGTGGTTTTGCTATAAACCATCTTATCCATAATCGTGCTACTGATATAAAATTCCAGCTGTGCTGGATGGCTATCATCATTTATTGATATCATAACAAATTTTAAAATGAAAATTTTCTGAAAACCCTCAATTATTTTTACCATAAATAAATAAATTGATAGATAAAAATCAAAGTGAGGACGAAGAAAGGGACTACAACAGTTGCAATGAAAGTAAGAATACACATGACCCCTCTACTTTGGAGGCATATGCTGCATTTTAGTCTGGTCTTAAAAGGTTTGTTGAATAGGATGAATGTTGTCTTGAACAATTACTTCTATTAAATCGTTTGCGATATTAAGCTTTGCAAAAGCGCGTAGCAGCAGTTCGTCAAACAAAAATTGATCAATTTGTCAAAAAATAATGATATTAATATTACATTTTAATAAATCTATAATATTTAATAATATTCTTATATTTGTAAAATGTATTAACATAATATGTTGTGTGCAAAAATAAGTAAAATAAGTCAATAATATGTAATAATTTTTATGTTCATTATAATATATTTTTTGATTTTTACTATCCAAACTTTTGCCTATCCGAATTCGGCATGATCCCAATTAGTTCGGATAATTAAGGTTCTACTGTAAATCAAAATGAATAGCATTTAATATTTTATATATATTTTCGTACATATAATAGCCAGAACGGTTTGTAGTTGCAGATAATACTCCAATAGAATAAGCGTCAAGATGTTAGATAGATTGTTCCCCAAATAGCAATCAAAATATTGAATAAACTATTATACCATTTTTAACCCATTCTTTAACACGGTGAATATACAATAATCTCTATTTTATTTACGGTAACAAATTTTGTAATTAATTATTTCTTTTCACAAATGATTTTTCAGACATCAACAATTAGAGAACGGGGTAAAAATAGCCACTACGATGGGATAAAGATTGAATTAGTGAGCTATCTTTTTAGAGGTACAATTAGTGTGATCGAATTGAATAAGACATCTTACTGTTATGCAAAAGTATTGAAATCAAAACTGTTTTAGTTGAAAAAAGTTATTCTATTAAAAAAAATATTTTCTTTGTATTAAATTATTCCGAATAAAAACGTTCAGTGCCTAATCAATTTATATAAATTTTACTTATTTGTGACTAAGCAAAATTCAAGTTTCACGGTTTATGTGCGTGACCACAATAAGTGTGTCATAGGCGTAGAGTGATTAAATATATAGAGGGGGAGGAATAGAAAAACAATTAATAATAAAAAAAAAACACTATAAACTAAATGAAATTATGATATTTATTTGTTTCCAACTAATTTGGATCAATATTATTTGAAATATCTTTCAATATTTAGCATCCAGGAAGGAAAAACGGTCCTGAGTCATACATAGTTGACCGTATATATGTATTGACACGTCTTATTATCGAAAATGACTCCTCACATGATGTCAAAGAAATTGGTAAGCTTAGAGCTAAATTTAAAAGTTTATATAGGTACATTAGGAAAAGTTGAAATTGTTATATGGTTTTTAATACATTTATTCGATTTTTTTGTTCGGGTTCACTATTATATTTTGAATACAGCTTTTGGCAACCATCATTTCAGCTTGAAGTGAATTCAAATCAACTTTCAATAAATCTTATATTAATAAATACATTATTAACACAACTTTAAGTAATAAGACAGTGCTTTCATGCTTCAGTTATTGGTTACATTAGTTTTATAAGTTTTCACTTAAGTTGATTTTTTTATTTATATTATACATATCTTATATTGTTGTATAAAAAATTAACTTTTTTCACAGTCAAGATTAAAAAAGTGATCATTTGCCAACTGTCAACTCTCCAGAGAAAATCTTGTCTTCATATTATTTAAATCCTCATCGATTATTGGATAATATTAATATTATTACTGATAAATACTTACAAGAGTGATAATTTTAGTATTATTTTCATTCGCCATAAGTTCAATATAATAAGTAGTGATGGGAATAATCGGATGATTTTAATAATAGAAATAATGGTACCAGATATATTTATCAAAAGCACATTAATTAAATTATTCAAAAAAAATAACGTGTTTTACTCATTGCACATTGGGTACTAAATGAAGAAGTCGACTGTCCATCAGTATTGCATTATCGTTTATTTTATTTTTATCATTGATATAATTCCCGGTATCGGTATTCACCACACTAATTGGATTAATACGTATAAATATTTGGATTGAAAATACGGTTGCATCCTAAAACTGCACACATTTGATTTTAATCCTAAAAAGGTTGGTTGACAAAAACCGCACACTTTATGGACTGCCAGGTAAATATATCATACAGACAAATACCGCACACTTATAGTGGGTAAAAACTTCACTATGTAATGTATTTTGTATAGACGAATGTTGTATATATAATTTTAAAGTTAATTGTTACATTCAAAAACTTATCGCACGTTGATGTGCTTGAAAAGTACCTAACCAGTACATTTGTCGACCGAAACGCGTGATATAACGTAAAGTTTATATACATAAATATATATATATTATAAAAAAAAAGTGTTTTTATAAATGGATTTTAAATCTATTGATAGTAATAAAGGTTATAAGACGGGATGGTCTTAAAGGCTCAATAAACCATAAGAAAAATAAGATAGTAATAAAGGGGGCGATTTATATTTTTTTTTATTTACATTTTAATTTTTTGAAAAAAACGTCGGTAAAAAATTTTAGCCCTCAAACATTTTTATATATTTTTTTAAATTTAATATTTTTAATTTTCAATGCTTATTTACATTGTACCTCAATAAATTGTTTTTGAATAAATATGTAGTATAAAAAATAAATAATAAATTATATACCATTATAAAATGTGCGGTTTTTGGTTACAAGAATTTAAAAAAGTGTGCAATTTTTGGAGTCATCAAAAAATGCATTTCACTTTCACGCTTATAATCATTTGATTATTTATACCACCAATCAAGCAGTTCTATCATGAATTATTCAATTGTTCGATTATTTTAATTTAATTTACTAATCATTCGATTATTCCTATCACTAATAATAAGCAAAATTTACATTTACCTAAATAGTAAACGAAATAAACAAAAATAATACAAATAATTCTGGAGGGGCTAAACCAACCTTAGATACGCGTATGAAGTGCGTGTAAGCGTTCAACTGGAATGAATTTTTTAAATGAGTAGGGTTAGAATGTAGTCATGAATAAGCAGTGTCGCCTATTACAGGTTTAGGAACAGTACTATCACAGAATGTGGTGTTATCATGAAATTATGGTAATCTTATCAATCGCACAAATCGATGGACGACATAGTTTAAAAATGGCTGAGTTTTATTAATTTATAAGAGTGGCCACACTGGGAATTTTGGTTATTGGGAAATTGAATTTTTGTGTTCGTGTTTTTGCCGTACGCCATTTCTTTGAATGGTCTGAAAGTTATTTTATATTATTTGTATCATGTCATGAATTATTGATTTAATGTAGGTAATTAAATTTTGTCACATGTCTTAAGATAATAGTGAAAACAATGATAATGATATGATCTACATCAACTTTGGCTGTCACTAAGCACTCATTAATCAAACGCATGTAAGTTCCACGAACTACGCTTCAGTAGACGTGTACTCTTTGATCAGCACTGCGGCAGTTGCAGACTTGATGTAGACGAGAATTACGATTTCATTGGCCTAGTAGGTTATGTAGTCATAAATAATAAGACATTTTTTTTTTTTTGGTTGGATGACGAATTATTTAGTGAAAAACTCGTATACCATTGTTTTTAATTATTATAATGGCATAATAGAGTGCATGCTTTTTGTGAATTGATAGAGCTTGAACAGCGCACTCTAACTTTAAAAAAATTGGTATTTATTATATTCTATAATAGGGTATTACTAGTACTAAATCTATGGTGTATTCATGGGTAGCATCATGTCCACGGGTATATGCCATATTCCCGTTTAGTAAATGTTATCATTGATAACAGACATTTTTTTTTTTTTTATAAGAATTCGTTTTTTTTTTAATTTTAATTTTGACATATTATATAAGTAGGATTTAGGTACTAGTAGCGATTAGAGATAGAAAGCTTAGTTAATTTCTGTGCATAGTTCATTATTTCACAGTTCATTCAAGTGAATAGTTCATATGAACTATTCTTAAGTTCACGTAGTTCATTAATTTTATTGATCATACTGATATTGGTTGGCAATGAACTATTCATTTTATCACTATTAATACAGCAGTACACAGTTCAGTAGTAGTTCACACGACCTATGGGCAATTAAGAATTTGTTATCTGATTGTAAAAAGCTGTTGTTTACCATTTACAGGATTTCAAACAACGAACTACAGAAAATTTTTAAAGAAGTTCGCGAACTATTTATACATTTATGCAATGCTACCAATTTTTTTTCGAACTGTGAACTGTTAAGTTACAGGTACTGAAACAGTTCAAAATAGTTCATCAAAGTGAATAGTTCAAATGAACTATTCGTTCACGAACTTAACATCTCTAGTAGCGATTCATTTTGCAAAACCATAAATTACCTATACAGAATTTATTAAGCACACCGTAGACCATCACGTCGTGATGAATCAAAATAATTGTACTCCTGTTCGATATGGTGCTAAATGTGTAATAAAAACGTGTAAAAATAAAATGTCGAAAAATCGTGGTATAAGTTATTTTTCATTTCCTCTGTAAGATCCAATCAAGTAAAGGATTGTCATTCATTGTTATAATTTATTTAATTTAATAAAATGCGTATTTTAAATTTTTAATACATATCATTTTCTAAGATGTGCAAAATGGATTGAGAGCTGTGGTCTATCAATTCCACTCGATGTTGTTTTAAATAAACATTACAAGGTTTGTGGTGAACATTTTGAGAAAAATATGTTTTTGAATGATCTTCAAAATAGACTTCAACCACATGCTATTCCTGTATTGAATACTGGTTAGAAATTGCATTATTTTTTAATGAATAGTTTATGTTTTCCTTGGTATAAACATTTATTTTGCTAATATAAAATAAAGTACAATGTAAAAATAGTACTTATATTCAAAAACTTTATTAAATTATTGAAATTTACCATACTATAATTGATTTTTAATATTTAATCTATATAAAAAAAAAAAAAAACCTTATATGGAACTAAGAAAAATATCTGTTTATTGGAAAGTACAACTACTTATTTATATTGTTTGATTTGTTTCCATAACAAAACTATGTAGAACTGATATTCTGCACTTTGGGAGAAAATCTCTTATCATATTTCTAATCAGTTATTTTTTGTAATTTATTATTGTTCCTTCAAATATTAACTAAATTGATATTATTTTATTGCATTTAAGTCTCTTGATTGATGTAAAAAATTGAGTGCTTATAATTTGTGTGTATTGCATGCATTTAAGAATCAGTCATTAATAAGATATGTATAAAAATAAAAATGTTTGTTACTTAGAATAAATGGAAACAATTTTTTTTTACTTCCTACAGAATTGAATGATAGAAATAAGCAAGTATGCCCTTCAATTAGGTATGTACAGCATCAAGAAATAAAGTATAATAAAAAAAAAATTACGACTACAAAGAATGATTATCGCCTTTGCTCAGGAGTCTTTGTTAGCAAAAACAAAGAAAATTAAATATATCGGATTCAAATAAAATTGGTAAGTGTGATTGTACATACCTTATGTTAAAAAAAGTATTTGTATTAAAAATTAAATACTTTTTTTCACACGTTTTAAAATACAACAATTATAGATACATGTCACCTTTCATTTGTGAAGCATGATAACAAGGGGTATAAAAATCAAAGAAAATATATTGCTATCCCTAAAAATGTCTTTGAAAAAATTGCTGGTAAATATTACTTTTAATTTATTTGTTTAATTTTCTTTAATATATTACATCTTTATACTTCTAGACAAAACTAAAAATAGTGTTCTTCCCAATATTGTAATTAGTCAACTTCATAATGACTTTAATTGCAATGATGTTGAAAAGAAAAATCTTGATTTTCAAAAGAATGTTTACAATACTTCTACCAAGCTTGGATCCTATAAATACCAACTACATAATGATACATTAATTTCTGAGATTCAAGTAAAACAATTCACTAAAAATTTCTCAAATATAATTATGTATGAACACCTTGAGTATTTTAAATTAGAAGCAAATTATTTTATATTAATTATACATTCTTAGTTCCAACAAATACTATTAAAAAGGTAGAAATGGTTCATTATGTATTAGTACTATTAATAGCATCAATCACTAGAGATAAAAATCGATAACAATAAATTGTAGAAATTGATGAATTTGGCAAAAGATATCCTACTACGTTCAATATTCAATTATCTATACAGGTTGTAGCTTTGACCAATAGTGGCTGTGCCATAGTGGTAGACTAAAAGTGTTAAGTGTACTATGATGTAAAACAATTTTCTTTAGATAGTAGTTTATAGTAGAATGAAATTATTAAAATTAGTTTCTAATAAATCTTTATCCCAATGAATCCTTTCTCCTATTTGATTCATGAGATCTTCTGTATTTAGTTTTGTAATTAATATTTTAGCTGTGTATTATATAACTTTGTGAAATAATTTTTAAATCTAGAATCGGTCCAAAATCAGCACTTTTAGTAACTCAATAAATGGAAAGGTTGCAAGCTCCATCCTGTTTAGATATGTAAGCATTGAAATTCATTTACCTCACATTAATGTACAAACAAATTACTATGTAACTTAAATTTCACCTAAATTAAGAATAAATAATATCATTGTTATGATCACAGAATAACTTGAAAGAAAACTTTACCACTATCACAGATTACATTTAACTACATGGGTTACTCCCTATGCTGTAATGTCTGCCAATTATTTAATGTAGAGTCACCAACGCTTAGGCCAGGGTGAACACATTGTAGAAATAATTGTATTGTATAAACATTTTACTATAATCATGCTTCAAAATATTTATAAATGAACGAATTTAGCATCATAACAAAATGCAATGAAATTTGTAAATAAGTACTACTGCCCTTTTTTTTTTAAGTAGTCTCACTGTATTGAATATGAAATGGGTATGAGTTGTTTAAATTTTTAGAAAACGCTGGAGTGTACCAACTGGTTTCATGTAATTTGTGCTACTGTCTTGATAATATCCGACATTTTGAAAATTCCCTTTATAAGCACAGTACACAAAATGATAATAACAGACTAGAAACCATATAACCAGAGTCACCAGATACTTTCTACAAAAAGAGTTTTAAATTTCCTGCTAATTATAAGATATTTATCAATAACGTTTATTTTTGGACTCCCGTGATACATTTTTTAGATCGAATTACTTTACTGATTGTTCTATGTTAATATTTTAATTAGATTCTTAAATTTTTTCAATTCGTGGCACATTTTCGGAATTGAGGTTGGTAACCTTGATCAAACTGATAACTTTTTTCTTAGACAAAATTTAAAAAAAAAAATTTGATGAGTGATTTATACCAAATAACAGTTAACGCTAATTCGTGGTTCGCACGAAACAGTTTCAAACAGTTTAATTTGTAATTTAATTATTTAACTAATAAACCTAACTAAATCTTACTTCCTTATCCCCAGCAAACACCCGCAGAAAATGCTTATTATTTTCAAATTCACAACCCCTCCCTCGAAAACCAATCCTGGTGCACCTCTTATTCATGTCATGTGAAGTAATTGAATCGCCCATTTTAGCTAAATTGAAAAAGTCGAACTTATATAAAATACAGATAACACTATAAAATTCTGTAATTTTTCCCTTAATAAAAAATTTAATGATACTATATTTTTAATGACTAGTGGTTTGAATCCGTTTATACAAGAAAACCTTTTTTTATCAATTTTGATTAAGTTGTAGTTTTAATTAAAATATGAGTATTTTAATGAAGGTATGAGTATAATTATTATAGTTCTTGTTATTCGTTTAATCTATGGTCCTATGTCATGAAAAATGTATTTATACTTTAGAACAATTTTACAAAATTAGTTCGATTAATAATTTTTATTGGTTTAAGATAAGTTAAATTATTGAAGTTTTTAGCCAAGTACGATTTGACAAATGCATTTCAATCATATCTAAAACATAATTTTTAAATGTTTAAATAAAACAATAACACTTCAAGGCAGTGTTACCACTGATATGATAAAAAGGGAGTTTTGGTTTTTCAACCACGCATCATTGAACAATTGTTAATAATGATTTGGTATAATAATTTTAGTAAAATGTACAATAGTTTAATTGCACGTATATAATCAATTTGCCTGGAGTTTTTTTTTAGTTATTTAGGTAAGCTCAAAAGTATATTATCTGGTTTTATTTAATATTTAGTTGTAAATACAGTGGTCATAGGAGCCTATGCTAATTGTGATATTTATTACACATGCGCATTATGTCATAATGATTTTACAATTTCACCGAGAAGAACGTTATCACTACGTTCAGCTTGATCGCTTTGATTATCCTGGTAGTCTTTTATATTCTAATGTTAACTTTAAACTTTAACATTAATATTAACCATGTACGTCATAACGACATCTATACCGTGGTAACAATCCAACCTATCACTGACCATACTTTGACTATAAAAGCATTTTAGTGTGATAATATTTAAGTATATCTATGTATTACATTATGTTTGTTCATTGCATCAAGACTTCTTTAGCATATATTTAATTTTAAATTAATTAACGTGAGCAATTTCATTTAAGTATGTAAATACTCAGTATTTGAGTAGCTAAAATTAGTTTTTTAATATTTTTCGGATCTCATAAATTGTATAGGTTAGTATAGGATAAAATATTTCATAGCAAAATTAAAAAAAAAGCATTGAATGTTGAAAATAAGGGAAAAAATGAGATTTACAAATGGAACAAAGACTGTGTCAATTAATGAGAACATATGCATTTAAAACCAATCTGTGCTGTTTAGAGTCACTTTTGTCTAGGAAAGTTAAACTTAAATGATTAAGCATGCACAGTACCTAACAGTTTTATTATTAATTGAGAACACCTCATGAACATTTTTCAAAAAAAGTACAAGAAAAGGTTGTTTTTATTATTATATTGATAAAACAGTTTTGGTTTAACAGAATGAATTCTTTTTTGTTATTAAAAATGTCTAGTTTGAAATTTCAATGATAAAAGCTTAAAAATATAATACAAGATGGTTCCTCATAAATAGATTTTTGTAGAAAAAAATATTTTATTTGAATATTTTTCATACATTATAATAGAATCTAACTGTTTAAAATTATAAAATAAAATACTTACTATTAGACTAATAATTTTGTTTTCGTTATATTTAGTAAATGTAAATTATAATATATTATTAGACAATTGTTTAGCATTTAACAAAGTTTTCTAAGTACAATTGTATATAAAAGTTGATAAAAATGTATTTTTTAGGGGGAAAAAATCCAGAAACTGTTATTGGAAATACAATGAGTATGGAATCAAGTTGGAATGTGTTAAGAGAACACAATTATTTTAATAATCGTGGAAATAAAAACAAACAATGGTCTTATGAAAAATGTGAATCTTTATTATCTTCGGAAAAAAAAAAATGATGATGCTTTACCAGAATGGTGTAAGACTGATAGCGATGATGAAGATGGAAATAGTGATACTGAAATAAAATCTCTTGCCCAGTTATTAAGATTAGAATATGAAAAAGATTTACCGTTTTAAGTATGATTTCATCTAATTAAATTTTAAAATTAATTAATATTTTCATTTTATTACAGAATCAGAATATTAAATATTTTGATGTTATTTTATTCACATGATGTTCTACTGAGCGTGTTTTGTCTATTATGTGGAACTATTCTTCCATCACCTCAAAAAGTAAGTATAAAAATATATTGTACATACAATGATGGCTAACTATAGGTCAGTGGCCCGTCACAATGGAAATAAAATTAATTTGATTTTACTATTATTTTATATTATGTCTATTTAATTTGTATTTCATCTGATTGTTTACTAATTTTAATTTTGTTGCTTTATTTAAATTAAAAAAATGTGTATATAACATTGTCAGTCAAACGATTAATTAATTACCTTGGAAATATCAAAACAAATTATTGTTTTTATTTGCTCAAATGTGTTTGGGTATATTGATTTGTAGATTAAGCTTACACATTTGTTGATTGGAGCAATTAAAAATGTAATTAGAATCACATTCTTCAATGTTGATGTTTTAATGAGTTAACTTATTTTTTTTGCTTTTTCAATATGAAATTTATAGGCGATTGGTTTTTAAAAGTAGTTGTCATATTTCCCTATAATCATTAATTCCCTAATTATTAATTTATCATGAAAAATATATAAACTACTAATTAACGAAATAATATTATTTTATTTTAAATCTGGAAAATTACTATTATTTTAGTAAATTTTTTTATTCTTAGATCCATTTAGTGTATCTTAAACTGAATAAATATAATAACTAAATTTTTAGTTTTTCCATGAAAAGGTAACAATAAAATAAAAAATAAAAATAAAATTATAAACTCGTTTTATAATCAGTTTTAAAGATAATTTTTACAGAAAAATGTACATTATATTTTGAAACTATAATTGAGTACAATTCGTCAGTTTGCATTATTATTTATTAATCCCTTGTTGTTTTCCTATATATATTATATATTATAGAATGATAAATATTTGCTGAGTATACACTACATTCCAACTAAAGCATATATCATATATCATTATTGTGAGTCACAGCTAATACCGAATATGTAAGAAACAGTAGTTTGGACACAGCTACCATCCGATATAGCCAAACTTCATATTGTTCTTTAGACATAGAGCCAGTAAGTTATATTTTTGTATTAAACTTTAATAACACCTGAATCAATCTATATTTATTTGTATTATTAAGATTATTTCCTTAATGTTCCCAAACTACGGCTAAATATATTTAAAAGGACCATAAAACATTCCCTAAATATCATATATCTCGTCACCCCGCGACCACTTTTAAATTAATTATTAAGTGAATAGAAATTGATTTCTCCTTATTTTTTTTTAATTGTTTATTCATTGTAATAAATTGGTAATTAATGGCAAGTATATTTTATACTAAACGCAATACAAATAACCAAATTTCTAAATTAAAAGAAACAAATATTTAACAAAAATGTTTAATGGGAAATTATCAATCATCGTTTAATAAGCTTATTAAATAAATTGACAAATTAGATTAAGAAAAAATATTTTTCTATTTAAAAATTTATTAAAATAACTCCTCGCTGTTGAATTCATGTAAAAACTATTTGTATTTTATTTAAAGTAAAGGTTTTGATTAAAGAAGAACTTAATAAATTAGTTGAAAAAGATAAATTCGAGTTTATTATTTTTCAAAAGACGGTAGCTTGGATTAACTTACTAGATTAATCTGAAATGGCTGGTTTCCTAAAATTTTGTAACATATATTTTGACGAATCTTCGACATCACGATATTAAGAAATTTAGCTAGCTCAGTGATAAAATCTTTTAGAAAATAACAAAATACTGATAAAGTAAAAATCAAAAATTTTAACGATAAAGAGTTAACTTTTATAGAGGAAAATTTATCTATAAATTTGAATAATAGACCAAACCTTAGTGTAGTGAGCACCTTTCACGCGGGACACATTGTAGCCGACTAAATGCGTCTGAAAAGAATCACGCGACTAAAATGACATTGTTATAATAAATTTACTCGTACTTACGAGCCACAGACACAGATAATGTGTCGCGTCACCGAATTTGCGTGTTCTCCAACCTCTCTAGTGACCTGACCTATGACCACAAATTATATAAAATTAATTTTTATATAATCTGTGCTATGACCGTGTTCGATAATGTATGCATTTCAATAATACATTCAGCCGAGATACATGTATTTGATTGTATCTGAACGCAACTGCTTTTATTATTATTATTATTATTATTAGATATGAATTATGTCTAATATTTATTTTATTGTTTTAATTTAATAACCGAAATTAAAAAAAAAAAAAAAATGAATTTCGTTAGTTTGGATACTGACAAATTAATTATCGAAATTGAACGTAATCTTTCACTATGGGATACATCTCGCTCAGATTATGCTAATAAAATACTTAAGCAAGATAGCTGGAACAATGTTTGCCGAGTTTTTAAGGAAAGATTTGATTCTATGGACGCAATGCAGAAATATAAATATATACATTTAAGTACATAATAAAATATAAAGATTCGGGGAAATAGGGTATGTGAATTTACTTTCATAATTTAGCTACTAGTAATGTAAATGTAAATTATTTAAAGGGGAGAGGTTAACAATTTTATTTAATTTGTTATCTAAATATAATAATCATAGTAAAGGACGTCTGTGCATTTGCCCTACTCCCTTATCCAAAAAAAATAATATTATCATAAAATTGAATAAGTGTTATCTTTTTGAGAATATATAACTCATAATTTGAAAAACAAAATTGGCTCCTTTTTAAAGTTTTACTTATGGGCACTCATGATCATAGTTAAATTTATAACCAGCAGAATACTATAAAATATAAAATAAATAATAAGTTATAACTAGGGCTGAAATTTGAATGCCCTAAAATATTTCAAGAAATGCACTATAAAAATGTATTTAAATTATATTTATTATAGCTTAAAAATGGAAAAAAAATTTAAAATTTTACTACAGTAGTGTATTTTTTTTTTATAATATTTTATGTTGTTACTAGTTTAGTTTAGTTATAGGTACTTTTTTTTTCTTTCATTCATTCTAAATCATAATTTAAAATAAATTGTTAATGTTTTAAAATATTTTTGCTACCTAGTCGTTATTACTAACCTGAACAAAATTGCTATTACATTGTATAATGATATGTTCTTTTTTACTACGCAGCTGAAATTTGGAATAGTCTTTCCTCTAATACTTTTACCGTATAATAAGAAAGGATTTTTCAAAAATCGCATATTTGAGGGTTGAAACAGTTTTTGACCGGATGCATACATTTTTCAGTTTTTGGTTACCTAGGAAATATTTTATTTGTTTAAAATGTTGATTTTAATAATCACCAATTAAGAATTATGTAAATTATTAAATTGTATAACAACATAATCGAAGCTATAATTTTAAACGGAAAATTTAAAGGTAAATATGTACTATTACCACGCATCCCAATGACTCCAACAGATAAACCATTGGAATTCAAACTTTTGCAGTTTCCAGTGCGACTCGCTTTTGCAATGATCATTAACAAATCACAAGGACAGTTAAAACAAGTGTGTGGACTGAATTTTGAAAATTCATGCTTCTCACATGGACAACTGCTGTATATGGCCTGCTCACGTATCAGAAAATCTTCTGATTTATTTGTGTACGCACCACAAAAGGAAAAACAAAAAATATTGTGTAATCCAAATAGGTACACTTTAATAAATAACATTTATTTGAAATCTCGAATTGTCAGACTTTTCTCAATAAAATGAATAAATAAAAAAATTATAATCCAAAATAAATAAACATTATTATCAGAGACGTGTCCTGCGGGTACGCCCGTGCCTACCCTGATGTTTAACTTTTAAGTATACTCAAAATATGCATTTTATAGTTATATTTATATAAGCACACTGAATACTGAATGTAAAATGTAAGTACATCAACATACTGCGTAGTCAATGTGTGACCATATTTTTCGCTGTAAACAATATAAATATTTGTCTATAAATAAAATTAATAATCGTAAAATTTATCGGCAATTTTCAAGCGCATTTTGAAATACCCCATACTTCCATATAGATATTACACGACCCGACGACCGTCGTCGTTTGGACAGCGATTACCGCCGTAGTGTTGAGCGTCAAAAACTATGACATTGCTATTAGATAACGAATATTTTATTAAGTACGGCCTTTTAATTTATTGTCATGGTTAACAACCGAGCCCGTGAGTGAGAGTCCTCGTTTTGTATTTTTTTTGTGCGTATATTTTAAAACTATTATAAATTGTTTTTTTTTTGTATTTTGTTAAAATTGATAATTTATAATAAAATGATTAGCCAATTTTTTAAGCCTGTTCCTAAATCAACAAGTACAGTAAATGATAATGATGATATAGTAGATCAGGGTGGTCCAACCCGCGGGCCACATGCGGCACTTGATGCCTTTTTTTTTAACCCCTCCCCCACAGTTAAATTGTTAATTTTATTAATTAAAAATTAAAGTCACTATAATATTTTAACAAAATCATGATATGATCGTATAAATTGTATAGTTTATGGCGTTTATGCTATAAAACGTAGGAATACAACGAGAGTTTCCATGATAAAAGTAAAATTCAATGTTTGGATTTAAAATCTTATGTGAACACTGGGCGCTGTACCAGTGGCGTATCTAGGATTTTATCATAGGGAGGGGGATATAAAATATTTTTGTATATAATACGTATAGGTATAATAATGTAATGATTTAAAAATTAAAGTATTTATATATATGTTAATTTATAAGTGAAGTATTTATATGTTTTTTTAAATCATTACTTATTATATTATAAATATTTAATATTACCTCTCCGATGATTGTGTCGACCTGCCTGTTGAAAACCGCGGTTGATGTTTGAGGAATGAGATGAGGTAACCAATTCGTACTTTAAAATATTAATAACATTTTCTTTTATTCACTAATTTTATTTAAACTTCTTTTTACATTCATTACATTTACATGTATTTTAAATTTTTAGAGAACGTTTTACAACTAATTATGTCTTTCTGCGTAGACGATCTGCATTATGAGGACTAATTCCCGAAGGAGAAAGAGAATTGAGAAATTCTTGTGGAAAATGAATAGCATCATCTATTGATGTAACTGTATCAATAGATAGATATTCAGGTGAGTGTCCATCGAATTTTAGGATGATATCATTAATTTCTCCTGCTGTTACATTTCTCGGAGAGATAATAGCTCTTTCACATAACCACTGATAAGATTTATTGGACAGATTAAAAATGTCAGGATAAACTGTATAAATCAACTCTTCCACGTTATTGACCACCCGTCGAATCGTTTGATTGATAGAAATGTAACCATTTTCATTTTCTAAAGTTCCATTTCCATCTTTCAACAACTGTGCTGGAAAAATATCGTCCCCTCCGCATAAATAAACTCTCATGTTTGTTCGCAAATAAAGTTTTTCAACATAATTCCATATATAAGAAGATTTTAAGCAAGCATTAACGACCTCAGCTCGAGTACCTTAAGGGATTACTGGTAAAGGTTTAACGGAAATCACCAGCGAAAACAAATGCTACGCCACCCATAAACTTTTATTACACCTAAGATCTCTTAATGTTCGATCAATTGCTTCAATATGTGATCTATGACTCATTGTACACTCATCCCACACAACGAATGAGGTTTCTTGAAGAATTTTTCCAAGAGAGCCATTTTTACGAATCGGACAAACGTATTCTGTATCAAATAATACATTTAACGGTAACTTGAAAGTCGAGTGAGCAGTTCTGTCGCCACTAAGGAGAGTTGCTGCTATACCAGATGAAGCTACTGCTAATGCAATTTTACCTGAGGATCTAATTTAATCGTTTGCTCCAAACGATGTCATTTAAAACAGAGTATTGTACCGTCTAGAATTACCAAAGAAATGTTTTGATAGAGGGTGAGAATTATCAATTAAACTTTTAATTAGGTATGGAAAATCCTCAAATTGGTGTAAAACAACTTTACCGTCAGCGCAGCAAAGCCCATGGGTTTCATCTTTCCATTTTTTTGCATGGCACTTAGGACGTAATATAGTCATTTGTCCAATTTGAAGCACTTTAATATTTAAATAATCAATCTCGGATTGATAAATAAACGCTGATTTCATACTCAAAGGCGTTATGTTGCTCCTGTGCAAGTGTTTGAGAACGTTCTGGTGTGTTATTTTGTTACCTTCTGTTATATATTCGAGTTGCATTGGCAGTTCTTCTGCCAATGCGTGCTCTTTGCGCTCTCGACATGATAATGAATTGGCCACTTACCCGAAATTTAGGTAAAAAAAAAGGTAAAAAAGTAGGTAAAAAAACTAAGTACAAATTATGTTAGTGCGTAAACAAAGCGGTGTGTATAACAAAGAACCACACTCGACGACTACCAAGCTCAGACTGAGCCTGTGTGCCACGTGCGGTGAGTTATGTGCTAATAACCTGCTGTTAGATAAGCAGTAGGTGTTGCGTATTATATTAGCGATCAACAATGTAGGTATAAAAATAGATAAAATACTATTTGCGGAAAAACGCATTCGGCGTCAGGCGAATCGTAACACTATTAAATAATAATGTTGATAAATACTATTTATAATCGATGGTAACACGTTTGTTGGCAAGAATATTATTACATAAGAGTATTTTTCGATAATGCAAAACGTGATCGGTATTTTCCATACACTTCTTATAGTATTAAAACTATTATTCATTTCGGCAAATGTTTTTGGACTTGCGTGTACTATTGATGAATGTCAATTAAATCATTTGATGACCTGTTAGATATCTAATACTATACAAAGGTCAAGTTGCAGGTAGCTGTAAACCCGCGGCCCGCTTACAAAGCCGCTAACACGCGACTCTTCTGCAATTAATTTTAATTTTTTATGAACTTTTTTACTGACAAAAGTGGTAGTAAGACTTTCAGCAGAGTGTCGGGTTTCAGCCAAATCGGTTTAGTAATTTTCTCGGTTAGTGCGGTCCAAGAAAAACCCTTACAATTTTATATATAGTATAGATAGATAGATATAATATAATAATATAATATTTCTAAAAATTATAATATAGGTATTCAAATAAAAAAATAATATTTAAAACAGTCACTGTTTATTATTCATCAATATTATTTAATTACTCATTCGTTATAATCTTAAAAACAAATTGTTGTGACACCTAGGTAATTTTTTTAACAAATAATTAAAACAATAAATTGATTATTATTATATTTTTAGAAAGGTGAAATAAATCTGCATGTTAATTGTATATTTTAAAAAGCAATAGGTGCCTCAACAGTTTTTGTTATTACTTTTTACATAATAAATACTGATAAATTATTAAAGTGAAAAAAAATACAAATATATATATTTATATATATTAAATACGTAGGTAACATTAAAAAACTTACCTTATAATATTGATTTAAACAAACAAATGTAGGTACGCAAAATATGTTTACTGGTACACTAACGTAGAACATAAAAACTAGACAGCTGAAACCGGCTATAATATAGTGTCCTAAATTAGTGTTTACAATCTCCATAGTCAAACACAATGGATTTTAAATACTTCAAAGTACCGTTTCTATTTTATATTAGTACTTAGTAGTATGATACTATAGAAATAATAATCTCGCTAATAGACAAGTTTCTCTACCCCGCTAATAGTATGCCATATATTTTGATATTGTTGTTACTTATTAATGACATATTTATGAATTATATATAAATAATTTTATTATACCCAATACTCAGTACCCACGTTTCACGAATTACATATTATTCGTGGTTATTCTTACGTCGTAATGTGAATTTATCATTTTTATTTTAAATTACAATTATTTTTCATACAAAAAAAAATCCATAAAATGTCATCGAATTCGTTCAGTCGTATGTTCGACGCATATTATTATTAAGCTATTTAAAATGGAAGACGATAGTATTTCAACATAGTGGAATCTTTTTCTAGTCTTAATAATAGATTGTCAAAATTAGCCATCGACATACGAAAATAATTATAAAATTTCTGTTCTCAGTCAGGTTTAAACAAAATTTTTCAAAAGGTTTTTCACATCATGGACCATTCTCTAAAAGAGGATGTACCCAGAATCTCACGTACCAAACGTTTCTTAAAAACATTTCTATACCAATAAGAAATGAGTGGAACACGTGAATCTATGATAACAATTGTGTTGGCTGCGGGCAGTGCTGTCCATGCATCAGAACTTGTACGTGAAAAAATCGAATCGAATATTGTGTCTGTGTGAATTGCTGTATCGTATTCGATAAAATTCTATACGTGAAAAAATTGAATTGAAGTCACCGTCTGAACGAAGCCTGTCATACGGATAAGTATTTTAGTGGCTGTCAGTTCTAAGTATCGTTTGGTCATGTTGATAAACTATAATCGTTTATTACTATACTTTTTTTATTGCTATTTTTAATGTTCTTAGGGCATATTATTAAGTTTTTTTTTAGTCATATTATAGCGTATATTTCAGTACTTTTTAGTGCTGTAAAAATACCCGATTATTAATCTTTTTTCGATATCATTACATGCATTTTTTTTACCATTATTCATAATAAAAATTAAATATTACCTAGATATCTAGAAAAATATAAATTCTAATTATTCAGTTATAAAAGCAATTCTACAATGGCGTACATTAAGCAATTTTAATTTTTTTTTTTTTGTTTTCATGATGAACGAAGTTTATATGGGTCGGAAAAATTGTATGTTAAGAAAAGTGGTTCGCAAATCGAAAAGGTTGAAAACCACTGAACTACACCATAGTGCAATTTGGAACCATGGTAATTTAAAAAAAAAAATGTATTAAAAAGCGACTTACATCACTATTTATTTAAGCCTAATTTATTTTAATGAATGATATTGCTTTCATGACTACAGGTTTCTTCTATTCTAGCTAGATATACATAAATTATTGATACCATCATATATGTAGTATATAGTAATATATATACTTATAACTTTTGAGCATTCAATACATATCATAAATAATTGTGGATTACTGTATTTTCCTTTAGTCTTAAACATTTTTATGTAAGGGTAAATAACGCTTCGGTGGCTTTAATAATTCCTTATTTATTTTAATTACAGCTAACATTAGATTACAAAGGAAGTTCTAAAAATCATGGTAATACATATCTAATATAATAACATGGTAATTATTATATAAAAATTATTTTAATTATAATTAATATAATATGTACAATTTTATTTTTATATTATAGATTAAAAAAAAAACAAATAGCAATTGATACTACAGGAAATTTTATATTACTGTTCTTTTTTAGTTTCTTGTTCGTTTGTCTGATTATCTCCACTTTGGGTTTGATTGCCACTGTTTTCCTGTTCACGTTTAGCAGCCATTTTTTTATATGCTACTTCAAACATTTTCAATGAAGCTTGTTGCAATTTTTGTGTACTAGCCTTTAATTCTTCAGGATCTTGTTCATTAGCTTGTGCTTGTGCTATTTTTTCTCTAACTTCCTTGATTAATTCACGTATGTTGGTGGCATCTTCTTCAGGTATATGGACTTGGTATTCTGTTAACTTGCTCTCTGTATCATTAACAATCGAGTCAGCTTGATTTAATGCTTCAACGCGTTCTTTTTTAACTTGATCTTGTTGGGCATATTGTTCAGCATTTTTCACCATGTTTTCGATTTCATCCTTACTTAAACCTCCAGATGACTGAATTGATATTTGTTGTTCACGACCAGTTCCCTTGTCACGGGCTGAAACGTGAACTATACCATTAGCATCAATATCAAACGTAACCTCTATTTGTGGAACACCTCTTGGGGCAGGTGGAATTCCAACTAAGGAAAATTGACCAAGAAGTTTATTATCAGCAGCAATTGCTCTCTCTCCTTGGAAAACTTTAATTTCCACTTGAGTTTGAGAGTCAGCAGCTGTGGAAAAAACTTGACTTTTCTTTGTTGGAATGGTTGTATTACGTGAAATAAGGCTAGTGAATACTCCACCCATCGTTTCGATACCAAGTGACAATGGAGTAACATCAAGCAAAAGCACATCCGTTACACTTCCAGAAAGTACTCCACCTTGGACTGCAGCACCAACAGCAACAGCTTCATCTGGATTAACTGCTTTACTGGGTTGTTTTCCAAATATTTCTTGTACCAATGACTGTACTTTAGGCATACGAGTCATACCACCAACTAGTAATACATCAGAAATATCAGAAAGTTTAATTTCTGCATCTTTTACAGCTTTTTGGCATGGTGCTGTTGTTCTTTTTATTAAATCACTAACCAATCCTTCAAATTTAGCACGGGTCAGTTTTAAATTTAAATGCTTGGGACCAGAGCTATCTACAGTAATGTAAGGTAAATTGATGTCAGTTTGAAGAGAAGAGGATAATTCAACTTTAGCTTTTTCAGCAGCTTCTTTCACACGCTGCAAAGCCATAATATCTTTGTTTAAATCAACTCCTTGTTCTTTTTTAAATTCATTTGTTAAATAGTTAACCAACAAATTATCAAAATCTTCTCCACCAAGTAATGTATCCCCATTAGTAGACTTTACTTCAAATACACCTTTTTGAATCTCCAAAATAGAAACATCAAAAGTACCACCACCCAAATCATAAACAGCAATAAGTTTATCACTATCTTTTTCCATGCCATATGCTAATGCAGCAGCAGTAGGTTCATTGATAACACGCAAGACATTAAGTCCAGCGATTTGGCCAGCATCCTTGGTAGCTTGCCTCTGTGAATCATTAAAATAGGCAGGAACAGTAATAACTGCATTTTTTACATTTGCACCCAAGAAGGCATCAGCAGTCTCTTTCATTTTAATTAAAATAAAAGCTCCAATTTGACTAGGTGAATACATCTTGCCATCCGAACCTTGTACCCAAGCATCTCCATTTGTAGCTTTAACAATTTTGTAAGTCAAATTTTTCATGTCCTTTTGTATTTCAGGATCATCAAAACGACGACCAATAAGTCTTTTAGTGGCATAGAATGTATTTTGGGTGTTTGTTACAGCTTGTCTTTTAGCAGGAGTACCTGCTAATCTTTCTCCTTCTTTAGTGAAAGCCACAACTGAAGGTGTAGTTCTGGAACCTTCAGAGTTTTCAATTACTCTAGGTGTTTTCCCCTCCATGACTGCTACACATGAATTAGTTGTACCAAGGTCAATACCAATAACATGACCTTGAACGCCTTTAGATGATGAATGGCGAGTTTGAAATGTGTTAAGACATAATGCCTTAGATATAAGGTCTTGTTTAAAAAGAAGAGACTGCTCTGAAGTTCGACGTACAACATATTTAGCTGCGTTCAACATTGTGAAGTGATTATAGCTCTACAGTTATCTGTAAAATAATAAGTTTACAATATCAATAAAATTAAGATGTATGCAGTTCACAAAAATAATCTTCTAAAGATTATCATGGTTTTTGAAACTGTTAAAAAGTATATACAAAAAAAAAAAAAGCTCCAAAATATAAGAAAAGTAACTCATAGAAAATAATTATGGAAAACTAGTTTGCTATAATTTTAAGTTTGTATAGCAATTAATATAAGATAAAAATATAGTAGCTAGTTGAAATTTTTATCATTAACACAACAATTTCAACAATATCATCATTACAAAATCAATAATTTTCAATGCCAAAAAGGAATACAATTTTATACATTTACTTTGCAACTAAAATCCAACAAAAATATAGCAGCCAGCTGAACTTTTCATCATAAACAAAATTTTCAAACAATAATTTCAACAATATCGTAATTTTAATTTTTTTAATTTTATATTAATACAATTATTTAAATAAAAATTGATCTCAGATGAAAATAAAGCAGCCAGTTGAGTGTGATTCATCAAAAAAAAAAAAAAATTTCAAACGGTAATTCCAACATAATCATCATTGTCAATAATAATAATAATAAATACAGTTTAATAATTTAGTGGTTAAGATAGCCAATGTTATAAATGATTGATTTTAAACACTTATATCGTTATAAATAATTTAAATAAAGTACAATTCACTAGAATAATACCTAAAAACAAATGCATTTATTACACTCCTATTTCAATTGATATCAGATAAGAAATATAGCAGCCAGTTGAAAATTTCATCATAAATGAACTATTTCAAACGGTAATTCCAACAATATCATCATTTAAAAAATTATTTAATTTAATATTTATACAACTATTTAAGTAATAACTGACCTCAGATAAAAATATAGCAGCCAGTTGAAAATTTCATCATAAATGAACTATTTCAAACGGTAATTCCAACAATATCATCATTTAAAAAATCATTTAATTTTATATTTATACAACTATTTAAGTAATAACTGACCTCAAATAAAAATATAGCAGCCAGTTGAAAATTTCATCATAAATGAACTATTTCAAACGGTAATTCCAACACAATCATCATGATTAATAAAAATAAATAATAATTTTATACTCATGCAACATATGGATAGTTGAATTTTTGAATTTAAATTTAAATCCTTTCAATCATTATAAAAAATGTAAATAAAAAAACATTTCACATGTAATGATACCTAAAGGAAATACATTTTTTACACTCATATTGTAATTGATATCAGATAAAAAATATAGCAGCCAGTTGAAAATTTCATCATAAATGAAAAATTTCAAACGGTAATTCCAACAATATCATCATTCTAAATTATTTATGGTTATATTTATACAACTAAATAAGTAATAATTAACAAATTAACCTCAGATAAAAAAAAAATTGCAGCCAATTGAAAATGTCATCATAAATGAATGATTTCAAACGGTAATTCCTACTTTATCATCATTAACAAGGGTTCACAGACATTATAAAAATCCCCTAAATTTTAAATAAAAACCTATACATAATCATAGTTGAACTATAGTGTTTATTTAATTATTAGTTTTTAAGATATCAGTAATTGTCACTTTTAAATTATTTTATTACTAAGAAACAGAATAAAAGTAGTTGTGATAAATATAAAATAGTAATTTAATAACAATAAATATGAAAATGTATATTAGTATTCTTTCATTTTAGATGTTTTTTTATTACCTGGGTGTAACTCTTTAAAATGGTTGTACTTTGTTATATGATGACATATTAAACAAGAACTAATTATTTTTAATTTTCAGTATTTTACTTATATTAAAAATATTATAAATACTTAATTAATTGTAATAAATTATTTAAAAATGTATCAATACTTTATTTTATTTAAAAGTAAGTAGGCTAAAAATAAAGCATCTTTTCTTACTGAGGATTTTCACTCCATCTGAAATTTACTGAAAAATTAGAATCAAAACCTCAAAATAAAATCAATATTGATATCCGAAACACTAAATTTTTGTTTCATCAGAACACTGATAATCTTTACCTTTTCTTATTTATATCATTTAAATTTAATTAATAAGTAATGTCTTATTTAATTATTAGTTAGACTTAAGTGAACTAATTTTACCAAAGAATCCCATATTTCAATCGAAACTGATATTAACTCACTACTAACATAGGATCAGTCATCAATTACTTGTGATACATTTAAAAATAATTACATATATCATTAAAACTGACTTATAGAAAAATGATTAAAAAACGATGAAAAAAGATCTTAACCTTTTCACTGCTACGGACGTACTATTACGTTCCTTTATCTATAAAACGAAATATGCAAGTTATCACATTAGTGATTGTACCAAAAAATGCAGAAAAATTAAACGAATTTAACGGTATAAAAAAAAAACATTTTTTTGTTCATTGTGGTAGCAATGAAAATTAATTTAACTTATTATTTATTTCAGTGGTTACTAAAATAATGCTGTTGTGTTCTGTGCGCATTATCTGTAACCGGTTTACTGCTATAATAATTATAATTATGCGGTTCCTACACTAGGTTCCTAGTTTGGTTACCCCTGGTCGTATAAACTTTAAACTTATAATTCAAGCCAATATATATATATATATTTTGACTTCAACTCATGGTTCAATTTAACTAAATTAATCAATTAGGAACATAAAAAAAAAAAAAAAAACACAAAAATAATTCAGCAGAGATGAGTATTTTAGGAAAAAAAAACTTAGCAGTGAAAAGGTTAAATTATGTTTTATAAAAACTTTAAAATTAGTACAACTATAATTAGTTTTTGTAAATTATTGAAAATAAAGATAATTTTAAAATGCATTTTATTTTTTTAGTTACACTGATAAAAAAATTATTTGAATGACATAAACCTAAATTATTTGAAAGAAATATAAACATACATTTTTTTTACAAACAAATGAGTACTTTAAAAAATAAATGTTTAAGATCATACAAATAATAATAACATTAGTAGGATAATTTAGGAAAAATTATTTATTTTTTTACTTCTGCCAAAGGGATGAATATAACAAGTTAAATCACTCTATAAAATTAACTAAAATAAAAATAAAGTTGAGCCAAAATGATTGAATTGTGTGCAGCAAAAACTGCATTTTTAATATAGTATTGATTGACAAAATATATTTAGATAATGTTTAATTTAAACAGAAAAAAAATTATAAATGGATATAAACACAAAAAAGATTTTAATTACCTATTAAATACCAGTTTAAAATATTTATTGTGCACATTATAAATTATTAAACAGAATACTTTTTTTTTAACATAAAACTTAAAACACATTGAGATTGTTCAGGAATAATATTTTTATGTTCAACAACTTTTTTTAAAACTTCTAAACATCTACCAACATCTTTTCGCAGTTGGAATTCTTTATCTTCACTTTTAATCAAACCATGTTTAACCAATAATAAATTTGTTAATTCTACGAATTTTAAAGTTTTAATAGCATCAGAGTAAGCTGTTTTATATAACTTTAAGCATTTATCTAAAGTAACTTCATCGGAATCTTGATAATGTCCAGCAGTATCCATCAGTTGATCAACTAATTTTTCAATGCTAACATTTTCAATTGAATCATTTGTTAATTTAGGTTCACCAATAGACATATCTTCGAGAAGATTTGCAGTATCATCAGCACAAGAGGCAGAATTATTATCTTCATCTGTTGAACTTTCTTCAGCTTCTCCATTGTCATCTTCTTCATCAGAACTACATTCACCTTCATCTCCACTAAATGAACCAAGTGTATTATCTTTGTTGGACTCTTTGAGCGTTTTTGATATAATTTCAATGGTTTCAACACCAAATCTATTACCATTAACATTGTATTCTTTTAAATTAATTTTGTTACATAATGACTGTGTTAATTTTAGTCCACTTTCACCATTGATTTCATTATAACTTACATCTAAAACTTCAAGAGATTCATGATTATTTAAAGCTTCTGAAATTGCCAAAGCACCTCTAGATTTTATTAAACAATCAGCAATATTCAAACGTTTTAAATTTACTAAATTAGGAAGCACACTGGCTAATGCTTCTGCTCCTAGTGCAGTTAATAAATTATCTTGAACATCTAGAACTTTTAGATTGGGATTTTTTAGTAGACTCTTGGTGAGTTCTAATATACCTTTGCAATAAATTCCATTTTGAGGTATTGTAATTTCTTCCATAGTTTTGACAAGAGTAAAGAATTTAGATAAAGCAATGATACCATCATTTTCTAATCGGTTCCTGCCAGCTATAAGTACTTTAAGTTTAAATGGAGTACCAGCCTTACAACTAGCATGATAATTATCAATCAATGCTTTTGCCAACATTTTTGCTCCACCAATCCCTAATCCATTATTCATTAAACGCAAAGTTTGTAATTCGTAACAAACAGGAGAGTTCAATAGTTTAACTAATCCATCCATACCGATGGGTCCAAAAGCATTATTACTTAAATCGAGTTCAGATAAACGTACATTTGCTGTTAACAAGCCTGCTGATAAATGTTCTAAAACTATAGGAATTTCACATTTAAGTCGTCCCGTAAACATATCTTGCCATAATGCACGTTTAAGCTGAGATCCATGTTTAGCAAGAGCATTGCCAATTTCTTTAGCAGCATCAATTCCCAAAGTATTTCCTTGAAGATTGAAATAAACCAAGCTTGGACATTTTTCAATTGCTAAAACAATAGCTTTAGCATCTTCAGCAGAATTAAGCATAAGAGATTGATCAGCAAAACTTAAGCCCTGGTCATCTTCCATCTTTTAAACAGTTTTGAATGTTAAATAATAACTTATTTTTGTCAACTTATGATTTTTGATTGTAGTTTAATATAATCTGAAACGTACCAATGCCCTAAGTTGGTAGTTTAAAAATTAAAAAAAAATTGCTTAAAAGTTATAAACCTAAGATTTTATTGAATAAACTAATTAATAGTAAAGCTGGCCATAAGTTTTTGAAATAAACTTAAGACCACTAAATGAGAATAGAAGATGCAGATAGAAGCGGAAAGATAAAAAAAGAAAAATTCTGTTACATTCTAACTTAACTAACTTTAATCATAAGTAACTTATTATAACAGTTCTTACATAAGAGGTTGTATTAATATCATAATATAAACATAAGACCAAAGTTCATTAATGTGTTCAGATATATGATTAAATAGAATCTCAGAATTCAAAATATAAAAATGAATTACAAAAGCAACAGGAAAAAGTTAATAGCAATTACAACTAACATTTAGTTAATAAAATTAATTGAACAAAACTTTTAACAAAAATTGTAAATATACTTTTGACTGGATTTAATATAATAAAATATTCAAATGGTTTTCAGACAAATAATTCACATTTTCATGAGACATGGATATTAAATAATTTTTATAGATACTCTATAACCTAGCGTTAGTCATTCTATTATCAAAATTACTTCATTTTTTTTAGATCTTTAATAAAACATATACATTTTATACTTCAGTCATTGATAATTACTAAGTATACTTTTTAATAATGTTATTAAAAATAAAATAAAAAGATTATAAGTACATTTAATTCCTTATATATAGATTAAACTAAGATAGAAGTAAGATACATAAATTGCAGTCATTTTGACCAATGATGTTACTATTATTATTTAAATTATCATTGTCAGATTGATTATAGAAAAAGAAATTATAGATATAAAAAAAAAATATTAAATTTTTTTAAATATAGAAAAATAAAAAGTACCTAAAGTGAAAATGTTACTTGTAAAAAACATACCACAATATATTATCAGAAATGAGATAGACGCTAAATATACATCATATACTTTATAATATTAATAAAATTATTATATTTTTGATTTATTTACATTATTACTATTAATTTTATTTATTTATATTACTCGTACATACATAATAAACTGCAATATACTAATTTAAATTTTAACTCTAATTTTTATATTTTTAGATAAAATTACAAGTTATTTATGCTATATAAAAATTTATTTGTTTGTATAAAATTACTAAAAATGTATCAAACAATATAACAACGTATGATTATATACTTGAAAATTATAACACAGTTGAAAACATTGACTGATAACGGAATATATCAGGTTAAATAGAAAATTAGAGTAGTATAGAGGTAATCTAATTAAATACATTATTTTTTCTTTATCTGCCTCATTAGAGCAATAGTATAAACGTTAATATATGGTAATAATGTTTACTTAATTTAGTGCAAGAAAATTGATTTAAAAGATATAACTAATAATAAGCTACTGCTAACTAAGATTGTTGTAAAAATACAATAACTCACACAATTGAAAGAAAAGGATAATATTTACTTAGGGCTACATATTAGCTTTAAACCTGTAGACAATTGTATTATTTTGGAATTGGAAGTTATATATATATATATTTTTTCTCAAAATAAATCATGATTATGATATAGATATAAATTTAATCCAACACTTAACATACCAAAATAATATAGAAAATTCAATAAGGAAAATAATGATCGATTTTCATATTAATTATAATCTTTACTTAAATATAAACTTCCTATATGTTATTTAATTGGTAAACCATAAAATTGTATACAATAATAATTTAATAATTAAAAGAATATTTAATATTAATTTCCTAAAAATTGTACTTAACAGCAATGGTAGGTATATTATCCTTATTTATAAAATTTAAAAGTGAATGAAAATATATTATGAACAGTTATGGTTAAAATGATGGTTGGCTATAATATTTATTCTATACTACTCTTTTAATCTCGTATAACATCTGAAATTATTACTACAGTATCAATAATATAAAAATAATGTAGATGGGTAATATGCCCCAATACAAAAATAATTTGCCGATTTGATAAAATATAAAAATATTTAATTTTATTAATTAGTAATTCTCAACTCAAAATGAAAATGTGAATAAGAGTTACAAGGAAAATATAATCCTATCATTAATAATATTACTATTTTAATTTTACATAAAAATGTGTTCATTAAAAAGCGGCGGCGAACTACATTAACATAAAAAATCCTAACCTCAATCAAGCAAGATATAAATATCGATAGTAAAAATGAAAAAAATTTGAAAATATTGCACAATATTACAGTGGATTTTGGAGCAGATGAAAATTTAAAATTATAGCAAATTAAACGCCTAACTAATAAATCACAATTATGAAAGACTATAACAAATGGTTAGAAAGCATGGCGACACCCTTTTCACCGGTGCAAGAAATCCTGAAGTCGGGGAGCCGGAGTCTATCAAGAAAACTTTAGTCTTCTCGATTCAAAGAATTTCAACACAATAAAAGTAAAATAAAAAAAACCCACGTCCACACTACACAGATAGATACAGATTTTTTGATAGATGCAGATGTTCTCATATTACAACAGCCAATCGGCTTTTAAACGAATTGAAAATTTAAATTATTTAATGTGAAATAAACGCTTACCTTGAAATTTATGAAGAACTGAAATGTTCAAAACGATATCAGCAACTGTAGACGGTTTCGTCAGCGCAATGGGTAAACGTTAGTTATAGTCAGTAGATAACGTTGAGATCTCACGAGAACGTTCTAGAACACGTTATTGACGAACACACTGCACAAGCTGTATCTCAACGCGGTATTACGAAAATGGCAGCAGGATTAGACATCAGCACGACGATACGATAGCGGACGCAAGTGGTGCAATTGTTCAAAATCGGCAGGGAATGATGAACAGTGTGACCAACCGTACGACCGAAAAACGAGCGTTCATATGACTGCGATGGTACGACCATAGAATATATTCTATACACAACGTCCGTTTTGGGTTCGTTATTTAAACATCTTGAAACTCATTAGATCATTAGAATGTCGGAAAGTTATGTAATGATATTGATGAGGAAAATTTCAAATGAAAAACTTAACTAATACTTAAACGAACACGTTTTCTCGATCAAGACACTCGCCGGCAGACAACGAACGGAAACAGTTTGAATATTTTCCTATCATATCATGCGTTCGATGTTGCGACACTGTCGTGGTCGATGATCATTACCTTAGGATATTGCTGCGTCTCCACCAAAGTACGGTGACGTTTTACATTATATATTTTATTGTAATTAAATGAAAAATATTTGCATTTCACTATTGGTCAGTATTTGAAAAATGTTAATCGTGTGTTTAAGTTTAAGACGACCGACTTAAAATCTTACCACTGATCAATTTTGTTCTTTATATTTCAATGATCAGTTATTACTTCACAATGTTTTTTCCTAGTACCTCGTCTCCCACTGGTACATTGACAAAACTTATAATACTCATCGTTTCTTGTACTCATGTTTTTACAGGCATTTTCGGAAATTAAATTTTTTATGAAAATAAATATTTCTACACCATCAACAATTTGTAACAATAAGTCGTATAAGATTTATCATGTCGTAGCAATATGAACAGTACAGTTAGCTTTTATCTTTTTAACCCATTGTTATTTAAAAATTTTATTATTTCTGAATTCTTAAAAAAATGACTGAACAAGTAGAAGTTAAAGGTAAGTTTTTTCTTTTAAATAATAAAATATACAATTTTAATTAATTAATATTGAATATAGATCTCTATTAAGAAACAGAAAACCTACATGTACAACTTATTTCATGTTATTGATAAGCTTTAATAACTTAACAATTTGTAGTTATTGTTAGTTAAATATTTTTCTGTATCAATAAATAGTAGTTTTCAAGTAAGGAAGATTAAACTGTGTATACCAAATGCATTGTTTTTAAATAGGTATATTAGGCACCTTTTAATTTTTAATTATAAATAATTTAACAACCAAATTTGTTTTAAATTGTTTTATTTTAAATATTTTTTTTTGATTTAAATTTTTTATTCTTATTATCTATAATGAAAGTATTTCATGGTAATTAATTATTTTTTGAAATTTAAACAAATTTAATTTGTTTCTTTTATAAAGCCAGATGTACAATAATTACAATAATTTAAGATTTAGATTAAATATTTAATTGTTGAGAATTATATTTAATATTATAGATTCCTTTCATTAAATACCTCTTTTTTTCTTTTTTATAAATATTTATCCAATGTTTAGATTAAATTTATTTGAAATGTTTATATTTAAGTTTATACATACATGCTAGCAGTTAGAGTTATAGTTAATACTTATAATAATAATAGTACTACTTATATATTTAAAATAAAGTTAATTATTTATTTATTCCATTATTCTGTTAACTTAATAATGATTACTTTTCAAAACAAAAACTTGTATCAATTGTAATCAAGAACTCAGCATTTAACTACTTTTTTTGGAACAAGAAAATTTCTAGTAAAAATACATTTTTGAATAAAACATAAGTAATCAAATTAGTGTTGGCCAACAATATCGATATCGTGAATATATTTTTATAATTTTTTTATCAATATTTAAAAATAATTAATGAAAAATTGTGATACCGGGGTGATTAATCAGGGCTCAGGAATTTATAAACAATTAAACACTAAACTGAGTAAACCCTAAATACTGAATTATGATACGAGGCGATATGTTTCAAAGAAATAGCTCACCTCATCAAACAATTTAATCTAAATTTAGTGTTGGTTGTTAACTTGTGGTGAGACGTCATAATTATTTTATTTTATATTTATATTAAGCAAAATGAGTGAAAACTTTAAATTATTACTGTTGTCTGGTGCTAAGAGTGATGTATGACAACATTTTGGTTTTAAAGTTAATGAAAAAAAAGAGATTATACTTAATAAAAATCAAGTTTTTTGTAAAAAGTGCAAATGTGCTGTTGGTTATAGTGGAAATTAGACTAATCTCAAATCACATTTTCAACTATGTTCAATTACAAGACCAAGTACATCTAATAGTTAAATTCCATATTTTAAGCAAACCCCATCCAAATTATTTAACAAAACTAAACGAGTAAAAGAACTAACAAATGTCTGATGAAATATGTTAGAATATGAAAGAGAAAATTTTAAATGTTTCTTAAAAAATATTCCACATGTTTATATAACAATTGATTTTTCGACGTCACTGGTAAATCACAGTTATTTAGGTATAACTTGTCATTATTTAGAAAAGCCGTGTTTACAATACATGTGTTTTAGAAACAGTGGAAGTTCCTGATTCCCACATTTCAATAAATATTGTCTTCAATTTAAAATATATTCTTAAAATTTGGAACATTGATAATAAACTTAGTGCTATTGTATGTAATAATGCTGCGAATATGGTCAAAGCTATAAATGCCATGGATATATTTCATTAGATGTACTGCTCCCTGTATACAGTTATCTATAAATGTTGGAATTCAAAATGAAATGGTAAAAGAAATAATTAATAAACTGAAAATAATAGTAGGACATTTTAATAGAAGTGTCTCTGCACAAAATGAACAAGAAAAGTGTGGCGAAGAAAAAACATAAACTAGTTCAAGACTGCATTACTCATTAGAACTCAACATGTGACATCATGACTAATTGTGTCTTAAAATGTAAAAATTAAATTAATAATATTATTTCTAAAAACAAAAAATTGACAAATGGTTTATAACTATGGGTGAATTTAAAATTATGAAAGTTTTATTGTAAATTACTGGGACCGTTTAAAATTGTCACAGAAGTATTAGGTGGCAAAAACTATACATCTGCGTCAATAGCACACAGGTTGATTAAAAGTCTTTTAAATAAGTTAAAAGTTACTTAACTAGACACTAATTTTTCAACTACGGTTAAAAAACCTAATTTAGATGACTTAAAATATCAAAGAGAAACTATGGGTTTAATATTATCAAAAGCATCTACATTTGACCCTAGATTTTGAAAGTTAAAATTTCTATCATAAGAAGATAAAGAAATTGTTTGGAAACAACTTGAAAATAAGTTGAAAGAATTAATTTCTTATCCAGAAAAAGAAAATTTTGAAACACATTGTCCTCCTCGTAAAAAATTACGATTATTAATGATAGATAGCGATGATGATGACAAAGACAATTATTCAGTAACTCAAAGTCCTACGATCAAGATCCTTTAAATTGGTGGAATGAAAATGAATCTAAATACTCAGCTGTATGTATCATTACTAGACAAAAAATACTTAGGTATAGTGACCACTAGTGTTCCCTGTGAACGGTTATTTAGTGAAGCTGGAACGTGATCTTAAAAAAAAAAATAATAGGTTATCTCCTGAGCAACTTAATCAACTGTTATTTCTGAATTCATATTTCAAATTGAGCCCAAGTTTTGAAACATTGATGGAAAAATTGCTTGAAGAAAAATTTTTTGATTAAATAAATTGGATACTTTTTAGTTAGTACAAAATAATTTATAATTGATAATTAAAAAACACTCATATTGTATATTTACACATTAATATAATATGTATTCTATATTTTTAATATGCGTTCTATAAACTAAATTATAAAAAAATTATATTGATATCGGTATTTTTTTGATATTGCCATACAATATTATAAAAATAAAAGCAATATCAATGATTAGAATTATATTGTTGGTCAACACTAAATTAAATGATATTTTAATAATAAAAATATTTTTAAAAACTATTATAATATCTTATATTTACTGATGTAAGTCATTTATTTTTAGAATGTGTTTGGTGTACCTATAATTAACATATTTTTTTTTAATGATTATCTTGTAATATAACTTTATTTTATTTAGAAAACTTGCTATCAAGTGATCACGAAACACAAGAAAGAATACCAAAGCCTTCTACTTCAATACCAAGATATCAAAATAAATCAGGTAAACAAAAAAATTTATAAAATATTTTTCTTATTGCTTTTGAATATTTCCAGATATATTAATTATACAAAAATACATTTATAGTTTGACTTAAGTTATTATTAATTTAAAGCTTCTTATTATACTAAAAATTATCTTGAAAGTTATTGATCTAATTTTGACTGGTTTTTTATTTTATTTTGAAACAAAAATTAATTTTTGAATATATCTTATTATGATATCACTGTTTTATTCATATACTTTTTGTTGTTTTTCCTAGTTTATATGGCTCTTAGATTAAAATTTAGATTTAGATATTATTTAAGACTACAAATATTTAGTGTTTTATAATTACCTTACTAAATCTTTTATTCCATAAGTTAAATTATCTATTAGTTTACATTATAGTTTTAATTGTTAAATTAATCTTTAGTCATTTAAAACTGAATATACGTTTTAAATTGTAAAAAAATGATTTACTATATAACTATATATTTATTATTTGTGTATTTAATAATACCTATATACCTTTTTAATTAAATGAACCTTTTATTTTTTGTTTTATAGACAACCTAGCAAGAAGTCCAATATTTATACGCCCCTCTTTATTGCCATCTTCATCATCATATAATTTTGAAATAGGTAAAAAAAAACCAGATACTCCACGACCTACTTCTAAGTCATTCAGTTTAAACCCATCTCGTTTAAGTTTAAACACATCAATATCAACTAGTAAGTTTAAGTTTTTTATTTTTTTAAAATAATTTATCTAAAAAATATTTTATAAGTGTTTTTATTATTAAAGTTTATTATTAGTCAGTGAGTTTATATCAATATAACATAAAATATACAAATCTTTCTGAAAATAATAAGAGAGTAAATTAGGGAGGATATAGAAATTATTGTTTGGAAGAGTGAAATATGCATAGTATTATAAAAGATAATGATTTTTTTTTTTTTTTGGGTTATTGGTTTTTTATTAATATTACGTGTAGGTTTGCACAAAAAATTAATTGATTTAATGGTTCATTAAAATGTAATGCGTTGTTGAGTATTTATAAGGAACCATTAGTTTACAAATGATTCTTTAAATGTTAAGTAATTTTACAATTGTGTATGAGTATGGTAAAAAAAAAAAAAAAAACATTAAATATATTTGAAATTATTATTATTATAGTCCATACTATTTAATTTAATTTAACATTTTGATTGACAATAAATAATATTATTTACAATTATTAATAAAATCTTTTTTGTACAGCAAAATCTTTAAATATTTCTTATCAAAATGAAAAAGAAATCGAAGAAATACAACCTGAAAAAGAAAAGCCTATTCCATCACCTCCTGCTGTATTTGGAGCTGTACTAAATAAAAGTCGCACTCAAAAACCTGATGAGATTTCATTAGCCAGTGGTTTTGTATTTGGTCAAAATCTTCATGAACGTGTAGAGTTAAATAAAGAAGCTGATTCAACTTCAGAAGATGATACAAAACTAAATGATACCCAAGAAGCTAAAGTTTCTTCATCTTCAAATGTTATTTCACCTTCATTTGGCAACCTTAAAAGTGAAGAAACTGATGAAGTAGTATAATTTGTTGTAAAAGTTAAAGTATTTTATAAAACATAATTGTTTTGATTTATTTAGAATGGCCATCTTGATGAATCCGCAGAAGAATCTAAAAGAAAATTGGTAGAAGCTGCTAAAGAGTATGAAGAGGCACGTGCAACTAAACGAAAATATGATGAAGTTGATTGTATGACAGGAGAGGAAGATGATATTAATGTATTTCATTTGAATTCATGTAAATTGTATATGTATGATAATGGTAAATCCAACTGGGTGGAAAAAGGACGAGGACAACTACGTGTCAATGATATGGATGGGGGACTATCGTCAAGAGTAGTTATGAGAAACAATGGAAATTTAAAAGTTATTTTAAATACTAAGGTAATATTCTTAATTTATTATTACAACATTTTCCTCTTTTATATTATTTCATAAATGTATTTAGATATGGGCTGACATGAAAGTAGCAAAAGTGGGTGAAAAAGGTGTTAGATTTACAGCATTTGAAGAAGATTCAATTAAAATATTCCTTGTATTTATACCAGTTAAAATTATAGAAGAATTAATGAATATTTTACGGGTTCGTATTGACAGACATAGGGAAGCAGATAAAAAAAGAAAACCAAGTACCAGTTGTGATGATGATGAAGAAGGTACACTTGTCTAATTGCTATATTTACTATTTTTTTTTTTTATCATAAGTCTCAACATAAATTACATTTATAATATAAAATAAAATTATTCCACTTTTTCACAAAATAAAATATATTTATACAAATATTAAATGTTAATTAATGTTCATCAGTTTCTTTTACCTGAAACAATACACTTAAGGTATGATCAACTATTTGTATGTGAATATTTGTTATTTTTCTTTTAGTAAAATATTCAATCAAATTTAATTATTATTTATTTGATACATTTTGAATTAAAATTGAATTAGGTTTAATCTTTCATTAAAATTATAATTAAAAATAATAATAATAATAATAATAAATAAATTTATATTAGAAATGAAACATGATTCATATTTACCATATTTCATTAAAAAAAACCATCTTTCTCTAACTTCCAGTCCATCATTGTCATTATTATAAATAAAATATTGTTGCCATTATTGTTATAAATTGTGATTGCATAAAAGTAATTCTGTGCTTGGCATCCATTTTCAAGTAAACATAGTTCTACAATCTTGTTCTTCTTTACCAGTAACTATTACAAATAAATAACTTTTTAATAAAATTTTCTAAAAAAAATAATGTTTTTTTATTCAACTAAATATTTTTAATTTAATTTTTTATTTTATCTGAGTAAAAGTAAAATATTTCTAATTTATATTTTTACTAAGAAACTTGTATTTGGTTTTTCAATCATTCAAATCAATAGATATTGAAAAAATTAAATTAAATATTTTCTTCAATATTAAATTTTGTAGGAGTAATAATTAAATTTAATTGTCAAGTTATTTGATGTTCTTATATTTCTCTTTGAGATCCAACTTGAAGCTAAGTAAAATATATACATATATAGCTGCCACAAACATGAATATTAAGCCAAAGTTATCCCATTGAAAATCCTGTGATTATTCTTGTTCATTCTTAGTCAATCTCTGAAAATCTAACTTCTGATAGGTCATATATTGTGTTAATTTATCAGATTTTCTTGTATAACTGAGAATAGGTTACCTTAAAAATTACTAATATAAATATCTAATACTTAATGTATCTAATTTTAAATAAGATAATAATGTATCATTAAATATTATTTTTTCCCAAATTGGTCTCTAATCTATTTTACTATTCTTATTGGAATAACAATAAATCATGAATATTTTAAATAATAATAATTAAATACCTTTATATAATTTAAACTTGTATAATTTATAAAAAAAAAAAAAAAAAAAACTTGATACACAAAATAAAGACACTGTTAAACTTTTTGGAAAAATACCTTAGAAAAAATTCAATAATATTTAAGATATTTAACAGTCAATATAAAGATATGAGTAAATGCTTGGTAAATATAATTAAAGTACTCTTATTTTATTTTAATAATTTATTGATATGGCGAGGAATTTTTTTGGCAAGTATGTAATTATTTTAAAATAAAATCCTACCTCTTGTTAATTATTTTGTGCAATATTTAGTTAAAAAATTTTTATTAAGTAAATTAGTAATAATACTTTAATTTAATTTACTTAGCATTTATTCATGATATTATGTTTATATAGTGTTTAAAGATCTTATAAATGACTTTTTTAGCCATCTCTGATATGAAGTGGAGTATTTTTGTTAAAATAAAAATGCTCGTAAACACATATTTAAAATATTAAAATATTTTATAACTTTTTTTTAAATTTTCACAAGTAATTAATATTTTTCTTAATATCCAAAACCTAGATTCTATCTATTCACAAAAATAAATGAAGATGGTACATTTTTAGTTGTATACCAAAACCATAAATGCTTATTTAAAATCATAATCTGTTCACATTAAGATATAGTTATTTACGTTGATATTGCAACAAAATGTTTAACCTAGTGGAAATAGAACAAAATAAATTACTGAACAAAAATATGCAAATATTTTTTAAAGTTTAAAAAGATATTAAAAAAATTTGCATATTTTTAAGTATAAAAGAAGATAGGTATTAATCCAATGAGTATAGAGTACACTTGTTACATATGAGGTAACTTAATTGCTAAAAAAAAGCTAAAGATTGCCATAGAAATATTCCTAGTTGAGGTAAAATAGAAGCCAGAATGAAGAATAAGAAATGCCAGAAAATGTACATATGGCAATGGAATCTACACAAATCAGTCCATATAGTTTTTATAGATTATATTCAGCCTACATCAAAAATAGAATTGACCTTAGGTAGTCGTCATTAGAAAAAAATCCTGACTCCACTATTAATTGAATTATTAAGTGTAAGAACTTTTACAGTATTGATTGTTTTATAAATTTATTAAAGCAGCTATGTTGCACAATTATTATTCATTATTTCTACTTAATTGTGTGTTAATGGTTTTATTAAATTATAATATATAATTTTATATAAATTTTCGAATTCGAATGCTCTTTTATTTGGAGCCAATAAGTTCTTATACCTCGAAAAACTTTGTTCTACGTCGAATGATGTAAGCGAAGCGTATTTAAAAAAAGGTAAATCGCTTACTGTCAAGTTTTCAGGTAAACCATCGAAACATTTCCTTGTCCATTGAGTATATCATTTATTTTAATAATGTTTCCATATTATAATATTATAATGATATAATATTGTGCATCGGTCGTGAATTGAGAATTCAACTTCTGAGTCAAGACTTGTGGACTCGCATTATTATATATTCATAGAGACATTGAAATTTCAGATGATCGAATATTTTATAGGTACATCTGTTAACAGCGGAAAGGCTTAAAGGTTAAAATTGTCGCTTAAATTTGTTGTTATTTAATAATAAAATTAATTAAAAATGTTAAAAATTAATTATATAAGTTTTATTTATTATTTTTATTCATCATATTATATTCATGTTTAGAAGTTTATTTTATTATTTTTTTTTTTAATAAGTAATTAGTGTATAATAATTTATTTTATATTACTATAAAATACAATATCCAAAGTATTTAAAGTATACAAGAGTATTATTAAATCAATATATGTTAAGGGTTATAGGAACTAAAATCTGAAATATAACTTTGGCATTCACATATTAAACTTATGGAAGAACCCATCTAAACCACTGCTATGTAAAAATTGACCAGCCCCCCCTCTGAAGAAAAATCCTGGATACGCCACTGCTCTGTGTCTATTTAAAAGTGATTATAACAAATAATTGTGATTTTGTTATTTTATTTTTTACAATTATTGTTAATTCCTAATCGTAAAACTCACCTTGTAGACTTCCTATCAGTTTCTAAATAGTGTCTTAATAGCAATGGATGCCCTAAGAGTCGCCTTCTTAAGCCCATATTACTACAAAATGTATATTGTTAGAAAAAAATTACAAATAAAAAACATCATCGACTATTGTAGGTAGGTACGTGCTAGTATGGAGTTGCGATTTGACGATATATACCTGCTATCTATATCAGCAGTCGCCAACCGGTGGTCTGCGAGAAAATTTAAGTGTTCCACAGAAAAATTTGAACGTTAGGTACTTACAGAATCTTTTTGTCGTTATTTCCCAAAAAAATAAGACCCTAGACATGGTATTATGTGGATAATAGATCCATTGCAGCAAACAATGAAAATAACAAGTTAAATATGACCGAAAAAAATACCTCATCGATTTATTTAACGGTATTTATGTAAAAAGCTATTTTAAGCTAAAAGTGGTCCGTAGAATTTAGAATATGTAGGTATTTAGTGGTCCGTGAGGTCCAAATGGTTGGTGACCGCTGATCTATATAATGAATAATCCTGAAATAAACAATAATAATTTACCATGGTATGATATTATATTACTATGAAAACATTAATTGCGTAACTCACATTTCTATATGAATTACAAGAATAAAATATATCAAAGGCGGCCAAATAGTCGTCGCGGACGACTTTAGAGTTGATCATCTTAGAATTTATTTTTAGGCTACGTGCACGAAAATTAATCGTGGTGGTTATGAACAAATTTTCGATAAGTTTTATCTGTATAGTTTTTATCTTTTATTCTGGTTTGTAAAACAAATTTCCAAGATCGACTGATCTTCAAAGGTGAAGTATATTTTTAGTAGATCGTGGCCGAAAAAAGTTTGGCCGCCTCCGTTATATATATATATATATAACTTGATGAAATGCTAAAAATATACTATTGAGTGAAAAAATTAAGACCTTTTATTATGTTATTCAATAAAAAAGCAATTTGTCTTATTAATATGGAGTATGTAACTAAGTATTCTAAATCTCTATGTTCTAGATCCATTTTAATAATAAAAAAAAAACTCATTTTTGCTATAGTTTTGTAAAAATTATTAATTAGCCCCTCCCCCAACTAAGTCTGGAACTGTCAATGGTTATTAGGAGGGTTTTTTTCATAATATGAAATTTATTAAAACATATTATGTTTTTTTGACCTAACATGTAACCTAACCTAACATGTATTGTTACATCAGAATAAATTTAATAAAATTAAGTTCCCAACTCATTAATAGTTTTGTTCGGACATTATTTTAATTTACAATTGTTTTCGTTAATATTAATTCAAAATTTTACAGTTATGTAGGTTACTCAACATGCGTTTTGACTTAAATAAAATATATTGTATTAACTCTAGTAAAATACAGTGTTAAAAGTATTGATAAAATAAAGTTTGTATAGTAACGCTCATCAAGTCTTAACAGTTGCTTATAAGTATTTATTGTGTCTTCCTGTTACCCAAGTTGTCTGTGAACAATATTTTTCTACTTTAAAGTAGGTATATAAAAAATAGGTTAAGAAGTAAACTTACTAATGAAAATACTGAAACGTTTATGTTAATGTCAGTTGAAAAAGAAATTTCGATAAATATTGATAACGATCAAATAATAATTATTTAATTAATTATTAATTTATTGACATAAAAAAGTAAGCTTTTTTCAACATGTCTTTAAAATGATTTAACTTATTATTTATATTTAAAATATAAAATGAATTATAAAAGCTTAATTGACGTATGTATATTATTTTTGGTTTGTTTATTAAGCGTTTATAAAATATAATTTATTATAAAAAAATTCAATCATATAGTAGGTATTGCTTATTTATAAAAATCAATAGCTAATTGAACTTTTTTCAGCTGTTTAAAGAGAATACATAAAGTCACAGAGATAGGCGTAACTAGGCCTTCGAAATTATATGAACACACAATGGTCTCACAAAAATATTGATACTGATTGAAGGTTTATTTTTTTTATATACTCTTACATATAATAAAAACTAAAATATTAGATAAACAAATAATTATTAAATAAATTGGTAGTGTTGTTGGGGGGGGGGTAGAACATAAGCTCAGCCCTCTTCTACCTCCCCACCACCACTATAGTAACGGCCTGTAAGCTTAACATTAATATATGGCCTGGGTATTACATTTTCCCGGCCTGAATTTTTCTCCCAGGCCGTCCCTGTTCATGGGCTCCTGCATAGCTTAAGACGGCCCTAATCGAGACTATTGTCAATTAACTTGCCCGTAGTGTTTTATGAATAACATAGATTGGCTGACATTCGGCAATCAACTTAAACATCACTCAAAGGAATTCAAGTAAGTTTCATCATTATTAATGTTTTATTTATTTAAGACGTGTTTCCAAAGAGTTTCTATAGTTTGTGTTTCAGCACCAATAATTGGGTCAATAAAGTTTTCCGAATGATTAATCGTTTTATGGATAAACCATGTTCATTACAAGTATAAAATACGCACGTCATTTATTTAAAGTTGACACATGACCCGAAAAACCGGGATTGTCACCGGTTTTGGATTTCGTGTCCCAGTGTCCCGAAAAATATTTTCGAGACGCCCATATGTCCCTCTTTAGACATTTAGAGGAAATGTAGAATTGTTTAATTTTTAATTTCGACCATTTAATCGATTAACAGTATATAATAAAACCATTATTTGAAATTTACACATATAAATAATATATAATATATTTTACAAAAATATTTTTAAATATTATATTGCTGGCCATTAATGGTTTTCTCGATATATTAAGAGTTACATAAAAAGTATATTACTCAATAATATGTTTGTTTTGTCCCTGTTTCGCCTTATAAATTTACGGCAACCTTACATTTATCGGAATTTAGAGTAGTACCTTGTTCAACTTCATTTAATATAATTGGTAGTAAGGTATTTCGATCACACTTTACAACTTTAAAAAAAAATTCACTCAAAAATGCCATCATGCTTACAACACAAACCAAAAATCCATGGCCCTTGAATTCGTTGTCTATAATTTCGATTATTTATTACATCGTCTTCATCTGAACTTCCTTCATTTTCATTAGACTTTTCCTCGGGTTTGCGATCTCCAAGACGTAATCTTCCATGATTAGGTATCATATATATATTTATATATATATTGATATATTTCCTTTTACCTTGGAACAAGGATTCATTTATTTGCACAACTAGGCTAGGACCTCCCATTGTCTTACGGTTTTGAAATCCAGCTACTGCTACGTTTCGACAATAATTATACCATTCGACTAAAGTTGATTTTGATCTTTTCGTAAATATCTGGGCTTGTGTTACCTTTATTTGAAATACCCAATATCAAACAAGTTCTGCGATATCGCACAAATTTAAACTACTTTTAATTTATACTTCCCATTTTTATCCTTACACGTAAAAAATGTATTGTTTTTGCGTACGGAGTAAAATTTTTGGTACTCTTTTTTTGTACATCGATCATACATTGTTTTCAAAATATTATCTTCCGAATCACGTTTACGACTATTTTTCAGAACTTTTTTCAATTCGCCATCACGAATTGTTTGATTTTTAATTTTGGTATATGTTTGGTAATTTGGTAATAAACCACGTATTTTTTTGTAAGAAGACTACGATAACATATAAAGAGGTATAAATATAATACAATTTGGGATTTCGATAAAATTTTAGTCATAGTTGCAAAATAATAAAGTATGTATAATATGTCCAAGTATATAAAACTATAATAGAGTATACGGTAAAAAATATATTTATAATTTATCGTAGAGTACCTACTTGAATGGCCATACCTTTCAGAAGATTTTAATTTTTTTTACAATTATTTGTTCTTTTAAACACATTTTTAGAACTCTGCGCAATTCATGTTATAATTTACTTGACACTGTAAAATTGACCCCCTAGTCTCTGGGAGCAGGTGATTTCGTTCATTAATTTATTGGGTCGACATTAATGAAAACTTCTTACCCATCCGTTTAGTCGTACATGTTTGAATGCATAGGTGTGCGCACTGGGTATACAGGGTATGCAACTACATACCCTAAACATAGAACCTTCTTTCCAAAATTACTTAAAATAAATAAAAATTATGACATATTTGGTCTTATGTATATTATGTGATTTGTATTACATTATGATTTTTATTATATTTTTATATTCAGTCACAGACAGTAAAATTTATTTTTGAAACACAAATCATATGCTATAATAACGATTTAATGTGTTAATGAAATTAAGAAATACAATAATTCAAGCGAGATTAAATAACTATCAACTAAAGAACAAGAAATGGCTATAAATTAAAATCCCGAAAGCATTATTCGTGATATTAAAAACTCAACTATATGTAGAATCGTTTTATGATTAATTTTAATTATTTATTAAATTTATTTTGTTTTTCATTAAGTATATAATTATGCTTTTATTTATTTATTTTTTTTTTTTTATTAAAAGAACAAAAGACCGCGGCAGCTATGGCCATTGGTCAGACAGTGACTTAAATAAATTACATAGTTACATGTTTACATGATTTTATACAATATAAAGTTATATTTCTTTGAATAAGGTAGATTTTTTTAGGAAAATAAATAGTTTTTGAGTTGCGGTTGGTTCCGGGCTGAAGATTTCATATAAGTGGGTGGCTCCAAAGGTTATCATACGTTCTTGCTGGTTATTTCTGCATTCTGTGAAGATGTGCTTGATGGTGAGTTGGACACCGCAGGTAGTACAGTTGGGGGGATCCTCTCTTGTCATAAGGTGGCGGTGGGTTAGTAATGAATGGTCATCGTAGTTGGAATTGCTTGAATTTTTTTGAAAATATTCTCCAATAGAATTTACCACTTCCTTTGGTGTCGATATGAGTTTAGAGTTGTATATAAGTTGAATATTGCTATGTCGGTTGGTTCCTTTGGGGGATTTTATTTTACTCCACACTACTGAGGGATCAGTCTGGTTATCTAAGCTAGATGTGAAGGTTTTCCAGGATGTGGCTTTACTGAGTTTAACTAAAAATCTAGTGCGCGCTCTATTTCGTTTTAATTCTACGAAGTCATTTAAGCTGTGTGTGTTTTGGTATTTTTTAAGGGATTTGTTTTTATTTATAATAGATGTTTTTATTTCGTTGTTCCACCATGGAACCCGAGGTCGTTTTGGTTTGTTGTTGGCTAGTCCTATGGACATTTTTGCAGTGTCAGTGATGAGTTTTGAAAATTGGTTTACATCATCATCGATATTTTCTTTAGTAGGGGGTTCAAGTGTGGATATACTATTTTCTATTAATGAATTGAAGAGGTTCCAATTAGCTTCTTTAACTTTCCATCTCGGCGGATAGCATAAGTCTTCTTGGTTTGACGGGTAAGTGAATGTTATTTGGATGGGAAAGTGGTCGCTGCTGAAGATATCAGGTAGTACTTTCCATTCAAGTTTGTGTGCAAGGGAGGTATTTGATATAGAAAGGTCGATAGCAGAAAATTTCCCGTCAGAGGGATTTATTCTGGTGGGCAGGCTGGTGTTTAATGTTACTAGATTGTCTTGAGTTAGGAGCTCTTCAATTATTTTCCCTCTTGTGTCGGTTTTATGTGATCCCCAGATTGGGCTGTGGCTGTTGAAGTCCCCGACTATTATGAACGACTGTTGGAGTTGATGGGTGATATTTTTTATGTCAGTGAGTGTGAAATTTTTCTGATTGGGGAGGTAGAGGTTGCAGATTGTTATTTTATTATGGGGTAATGTTATGGATACCGCGACAACTTCTATATCAGTGGTTATATGTATTTCTTCGCTAGGGTATTCTTGACTGACGAAAATTGCTACGCCGCCGCTGGCTCGGTCGCACGTATGCTTTTATTTATTTACCCTATTAAACGTATTACTCATAAAATTTTAAGGGTTATGTATTTAATTTTTTTTTTTCATAATTTATTTTAAATTTTAATTATGAAGACAGTTATAACGATTAAGAAATGGCTATTCAGTCAATTTTTTCGGGAAAAAAAATTAAAATTTTAAATTAAATAGTTATTAAGATCAGAATTTTGAACACTTAAATTAACTTTCAGTTTTAGGGGATGGGTAGGCAGTGGCAGCCTTTTGCATACCCTGAAATAGAGGTCTGCGCACGCCTATGTTTGAAAACATAATTTTTATTTTTCGATCGCATATTTCTATACAATAAATCAAAATTTGCGAAACTTACAATGGGCATTTTTAATCGGGACATTTTAGTCTTTTTTCGGGATGTGGGGACAATAGAGATCAATAATGGTAACAATCACGATGTATCGGGACGGATGGCAACCCTTTACATGCTATATGTGATATTAAATTCTACAGGTGTTGGCACCCATATTATGGCAGACAGGCGCGGCTCCAAGGGGGCCATGGTTCCCAGGATTTTCAAAAATTTAAATTTTTTAATACAATCTTATCCTTGTGAACTGTAAAATCCCGATTATTTAATTAGATAATTAGATATCTACCAATAATTTTATTTTTCCTAAAAAACCATATTATGACATTAATATGAGGTGTGTATCATAATATAGGAACGTAGTCGAACTCTGTGTCTCGGTACTTATTTGGTGAAACAAATATTATAAGTTAATACTTAAAATGCCCCCCCCCCCGGTAAATCTCTGAAGCCACGCCTGATGGCAGATCATGCCACACTATGCTTACTTATAATTTTATTAAATAATATCAATACAAAAATATTAATGTCCACGTACATCATCTTAGTCCGAAGCATGAGCGTCATTGCCACGATTATTGCTGTGCACGATATTATTATTTATATCGTAGATCCTACTGCGAGGAATTAAAATGCAGAACATAAATAACAATAGAAAAACCGCGTGTTTGAAGTGAGCATTTCTTAACAATAAATCGAATAGAAAGAGAAACAAAAAACAACGAAAACACGTCGATATAATAGTCCGGATTTATTGTTTTTACTCTTTGATCGAGTTTAAACATATCGCCGTAATAGCACGCGCATTCGATTATTGTCCGGGTAGACACGTTTCACATTTGTACGAAATATTCTAAGGATAACCTTGAAATAATTAATACATTTCGGTTGATTCGTTGTTATTTCGTATATTATTATCATACTATACACAAGAAACGATTGAACTGATCTATTATGTGTGACGACGAAGCAGTAGACAATAATTACCGAGTATACGTTTAAACGTGTGTGGTCTGTTTTATGAATAAAATAAACGTATAAATAATGCGTGCACTACGTTCAAAACAAATCGAGAGTGAGAAAATACATTTTGCTGAAGAGATCTCCGACCGTCACACAACTATTTTTCACATATTCTACCAAGATTTTACTTTGCCCCTTAACTTTTCATTATTAATGTTATTACTTATAAAAAATTATGAAAAATTTTAAATATACGTCATTTTTACAAATACTACAAGTACAATAATTTACAAATGCTAGTAATGTAATACAAAAAAACTTTTAGCATTTGTAAATATTTTATGAAATTCTATATTTTATATTGGACTATTTCAGAATAATACAAAACAAGTTCACTTTAAATTACTTATACTTAAAGTATAATTTTTTATTAATTTATTTAATATTATAAATTTAATAAATTATAATGTATAAATAATTTAATAAACAGAATTTACATTTTTTATTTAATATTGTAGTATATTATGCCCGGTTTACACTAGGATAGTACCTACTCGGCCGAGTGACTAAAGCATGTTACTAATTTTTGTTTACTTGAACAATGTGGACATACTATTTAGTTATTATTCCAGAAATGATTTTAGTAAACATTTTAGTCGGGTAAATAGAAAACAACTCTATTTTTTCCACCGAGTGGTCTTTCCTCTAGCAGTCAACAATTTACTAAACCAATGTAGACACTATACTGTTGGAACTATTTTAGTGCTAATTTAGTAAAAACGGCATGAGTAAACAGGTTCTCACATTTGTTTGCATGTTATCTATCTGTGTTATCTCTCAACATAGTATCAGATTTTTGAATTCTTGAATAAACTTTATCAAGTAAAGTAAGAAACGTAGTTGAAGAGATATCCTCATGCAGTTGGTAAATTCAGCAATAACATTTTCTATTAGTACATTAAAAAGTAAATTACTAACATCGCATGTACTTCTCTTTTTCAGCTATATTCTTATCCAAATTAATTTCTTTCTTTCTTTTTCTTCTTTT